ACCACTTACCAGCTCAAGAACCAGAGACAAGTGACTTACCCTTTCTGTGCCTCAGTTTACTCATCTCTAAATGAGATGATTGATAGCAGTAGTAGCTTGCTCATACATGTGTTAAAGAAGATCAAGTGATCTAACACACTTGTAGGGCTTAGAACAGTTCCCACACTTACAAAGATACAGCCAGTTTAGCACAACAGTGAAGAGACCAACCTGGGCCCAAATCTCACCCCTGCTATGTACAAGTTCCCTGATCTTAAGTGGGTCACTTAACCTAAGCCTCAGTTTCCTCATTTACAAAATGTAAAGATTACATACCTATCCCATAGAGTTGCAAGAATTAAAGTTCCATAAGGCATTATCAATTTTCATTCACAAATATTGAAATTAACAAGCTCTGTTAAGGAAATAAGCACATTATAATGTATAGAGAAGAATACTTTTTTGTATGTATCAATTTTAAATACTACAGTCAAAATTCCAATATACTGCTCTGCCACTTCACCAAATGATCTGTTTTCTTCCACATTTTATAACCGAGTGGGAAGCTATCAGCTTCCACAGAATTAAATGTTGCTGAATGAATTAATGACTCACATCATTAAGTAACTTTATTTTTGAACCAGCTAATTTGAACCACAAGCAAAACATGTTAGAAGAGTCCAACTATTATGAATTCAACATAAGCATTTTTATTCAGTTGGGACTTCTTAGCAGAAACCATATTTCAACAGGTTTATATGTTCTTTCTTAAATTAGGGACCAAACAGTGGGGGCAGGGGGGTTGTTTGTTTGTTTTTATGATGACAGAATTTTTATTTGAAAAATAAAAAGTGTTAACAAACAATAAAACAAATCCATTACTGTGTGCCATATGATACATTTCGGAATGAACAATTAAACAGTGTGTTTTAAGTGTTTCACTCTAATTTCCAAACAGCAAAGCAAGTTACAGAAAAGGTGGTTTTCCTCATGAGAATAATGTTGTAATAAATGACTAATTATTTTATTGGTTTCTGCTCAACTGTCATCTGACAGCTCCTCAGATGTCCTGTAGGAGCTGTAGGTATCAAATGCATCTTTTTGTCCCCAGCACCAAGCATGGTGATCATCACAACAATCAATAAATACTCATTGACTATAGCTAGTGAGACGACTAGGAGGAGATGACAGGTACATGCATGGAGCCCAGAACAACAGCAAGACGAGATTTCAAAGGGATGATTAAACCAGGCACTTATCTCCTAAAGAGCTGCCCAGAAAGTCCACAAGAACTGAGCTTATTGCAAGAATCCTGGAGAGACCATCAAAAATAAAGAACAGAGGAAAATAAGCATTAAGAAAAGACACAATAAAGGACAGGAGTTAGTATTTGCACAGAGAAATGTCTAGAATCCTAGGCACAAAGCATTCAGGGTCTTATGTTCCTCTGACAGGGTGGCAGCTTCAGAGGTTATTTCTCTTTTTGCTCAGCTGTATTTTCTACTTTTCCCACAATGGGCATATTATTTCTGTATCAATTTATTGTTCTCTGTGAGCTGGGATCCAACCTCTGAAAGTTTTTTCCTTTCCATAACCTGCATTGGCCACTTCTGAAAAGGGGTTGTGCTCTGCAGAATACACAATTTCTTCAACTGAGTAGCTTTGTTGTCCCTCTTTCTTCCCAAAGGAAGAAAGAGGTCTAGAATTCTGTTTCTACATTTCCAATAGTTTCAGTCCTTTTAGTCCAGGATGGTGGTACTTTTGCTAATACAAAGCTCTTGGGGAAAATTGAGGGGTCTTATTTTGGTCAACTCTATATATTAAAAGTTGTGTGACAATTTTTTTAACTTTATTTTATTTACTTATGTGGTGCTAAGGATTGAATCCAGTGCCTCACACATGCTAGGCAGGTACTCTACCACTGAGCCACAACCCTAGCCCCTGTGACAATGTTTAATCAAGAACTTTGAGTTCTTTGGCTATATTAGGTTTTTATGGTACTACACATTCAAAGGTTTCTGGAAGTCCAGTCTACCTTAATTATTTCAGATTTCTTATCTAACAGCACGACGGCTGTGGCCTTGATGTGGTTCTCTCTAGCACAAGTTTATCTCTCTCCTTCGGAACTTTGCTGAAGCTGCAAAAAAGGAACCCCAATATTCTGATATTTTTTTCCTATTGTTTACTCTAACACGTCATTTCGTTGGCATGAGGTTGGTGTCTCCGAAGACAATAGACAACAGTTTGATCAAATATTTTACCATGGTGTAACAAAGTTATCTACTTTCCAAATTGAAATATTTAGAACCTTACTATCTGCTATCCCTCCTCCTCTGTTCAGCCAATAATGGGCTTGGGGGGGTGGTATTTTAGTAAGGTACAATCAGATACCAGGTTCTGTATCCATCATAATTCTTAGAAACAACAAAATTAACACCTGCAAGATTAAGCGGAAAAGAAGTGGATTAAAGGATATTGTGTAACTCATAGGTTCCCCCCAGAAGACTAAGAACCAGTCATGGAGGCTGCACAGGGTAGACTCCTGCAGACTGTGCCAGGCACAGCACCGCAAATCACCACCATGTCTACTGCCACCCAAACTGCCTCCATCAAGCCACAGGGATTTTTACTTACTTTTTACAGCATTTAGTGTTGTTTGCCAGAATATTCCTTCCACTTACTAAAAAATTACTAGTTTATAAATGTTGATGCTTTATCAAAATTGTTTTCTTTATTTATTAAGATAATTAGACTTGCTTTTTTTAATCTCTTATTGTTTAATTTTCTAAAATAAAAGCAACATATAGTATACTTGAAGTAAACCCTACAGAGTCATAATGTATAATCATTTTAGAGACTTCTGGACTAAGTTTGCCACTTTTTAAAGAATTTCAGAACTTATGTTCACTAGTGAGAGGGGGCCCATAATTCTCAGTAATGGCTATATCAACATTACATATATCGAACTCCTGAGCAAAGAAAATTACTAATTAAAAGAGTTTATATGTCCATAAAAGAAGCAGTTCATTGAGAAAACAGCAAGCTTAAGTGTGAATGCACCAAAAAAAATGTAGCTTCATAAATCAAAAATGGATAGAGCAGAAAAGAGAAAGAGACAAATCCACTTTGTAGTTAGACATTTTAGCAACAAGACACACGATACAAGGAAAGAAAAATACAACCTAGTATCCCTCATGAACACAGATTCTCAACAAAATAGTAGCAAAGCAAACCCACAGGGTTACCTGGGAAAGCAAGGCTGTTTCAATATTTGGAAATCAATCAATGCAACCCTCCATGAATATGCCCACAGAAGAAAAGGCAAGTGATCATATCACAAGGCAGTTAAATCATTCTGAATTTTAACAAAATTCAAATCCATTCATAATAAAAATTTCCAGCAGCCTAGGAATAAAAGGGAATCTTCTCAATATGATAGAGCTGATCTATGAGATTTCTATAAATAAATCATACAGTGAATGAAAGATTGAATACTTTATCCCCAAATTGAGAAAAGACAAGTATAACTACTATTTTGGGGGGTGGGGGAGTGTACTGAGAATTGAACACAAGTTCTTAGCCACTAAACCACATCCCCAGCCCTTTTTTTATATTTTATTTTGAGATAGGGTCTCACTGAATTGCTTAAGTCCTCTCTAAGTTGCAAAGGCTGGCTTTGAACTCACAATCCTCCAACCTCAGAGCCACTGGGATTACAGGTGTGTGCTACTGTACCCAGCAGTATATCCACTCTTAAGACACTCATTCAATATTTCTGGAATTCTAGCTGGGGCAATAAGTCAAAAGGCAATAAAATTTATAGAGATGAAAAAGGAAAAATTAACACTTATATTCAAGGTAAGATGATTTTTCATGAACAAATTCTAAAAGACATCTTTTTTGAAAAACTAAATTGTCAAGTTTCAAAAGGTCACAAGATATGAGATGACCCATGAAAGTAAGTCCTATTTCTGTACAACAACAATGAAGATTTAAACATAGGCTTTAGTACTTTTTATGCACAGCCTGTCAGGAGCACCATTCTGTTCTTACCAACTAGGTGGATTTGTGCAAATTACTTTGAACCTTGGCTTCTCCTCTAGAAAATAGAGCTAAAAACATGATTCTCAGTGAGATAAATAGGAATAGGAACACCATAAATGTGAAGAGCCCTCCCAAATGCCTCATTTTTCCCCCAGTACTCTATCCTACCTCACTTAGCTCCTGTTATCTTGTACAGAAGAAAGAACTTGTTAAAAAAAGACAAAATCCAGTCTGGCCCCTGCACTAATCTGATTAACTTCAAACTTGTGAACTATGCTCAAAGTGTCAACTAAAAAGGGGACAAGGATGGTGGTCAAGGACAGGAAGTAAGAGAAACAGGAAGTTCCTGGATCACCATATAAATATTCTGGTCAAAACTCCCCTCAAGGAATGTGGTCATTAATCTGGGCCCACTGCCACCATATACACAGGAGGACAGAGACATCTCATGCCCTCAAGATCAGTGGGCATAGACACCCTTCATCAGCACAGAGAAGTTGGAAAGAGGCTGAAGATTCTTCCTAAGAAAATGGTGAAATAAAGACTGATAGTAGGTTCAAGAGTCCTAGTTCATTTCATAAAAACTTTATCTGGAGCCTGTGCACACCTATGATTCTAGCTATTGGGGAGGCTGAGGAGGCAGGCTTGAGCCTAGGAGTTCAAGGCCAACCTGAGCAACATAAGGAGACACCATCCTTTAAAACAGAATTTTTCCTTTGACCACAACAGATCATATTTCAAATATATATGAAAGCCTCACCAGGTATAGGCACAGTATTCAGTCCTGAGGCCTCGGAACTGCTCTTCTGGGTGCAGCCTCTGCAGATGTGCAGAGTGAGAAGTCAGAGAAAGCAGAAGACAGCATGCGCTTACCTCCAAAGAAAAGAACTGTCCTTATTTAAAGACCAAGTTCTACTAAACCAAACCTTAAGAATAGCAGAAATCATTATAAGAAAGAAAATTAATGCACACAAATTTTAGGAGCTAACATCCTGGTGTTTCTTCAGAGCAGGTAAGTTGTGGAGTTCCACATTCTCTTTAGACACAGGGAGCACCTGAGATCCCACAGACAGGAAACATGGAGAAGATAAATCCAAAGATTCATGCATCAGGTATACACCAAAGTTCACCTGTGAACAAAACAGGGACAAGAAAGGCTAGGTTGTTTTAGTGGTTAAATCAACTTTATAAATAATAATCCTTACAATAAAATTAGATCTCTAGAAACACACTGGGCCAAGTTACTTGGTAGGTTCTACCTGTTACATAATAGAATACAATGAACATGAGGATAATCCTAATTCCAGACCTCAAAGGTTCTCTTTCCAAGGTGTCCTTTACCTACAGTCACCCCACATGGCTTTCTAGCTAGGTGATTCTTTTTGCATTTCTCATACATCCTGTGCTTCCTGCAGAAGCATCTTTTATCTGCCCTTAGCCTCTGACCTCTGCCAGGCTGATTTCCTCTGTTCCATAATGCAAAAGTCATTTGGGAATCAAAATGGCCAATTCTGCACTTTTCCTTGAGAATTAAAAATTATAAATTAAGCTCTCTGAGTTCCCTCAAAATATAGATGGAAGGTCCAAAATGAAAAATTATGTAAATCTGCCTAAGGTTCACCATCAATGAAAGTGAGCCAGTAAGAACCCTTAGGAGAACATGATATACCCCCAGATCTGTTAGTTCCTGCATAACCTCTGTGGATGCTTTTGTTCTCAGGCTGCAGGCTTGGGAATTAACTAAATCTCAAGTTCATTCCTTAAGACTTATGCTCATGTGGGTAAAGAGTACACAATCCCCTCTGTACTCTCTTGGCAACTTTCTATCTTAAAGTATTCTAAAATTTAAAAAATAAAAGATTTGTGCAACAATGCTGAGAAACAGTACTCCTGTATACCAGAGACTTTGGGCCCACCCATCCCTTCTGTAGGTACCTCTGTGTGCACTATATCCCCAGTGGATGTAGCCTTCATCAACTGGGCAGATGTCTTGGTATAGCACTCAAGTACAATACCTCTGCAGACCACATCTATATAGACACTTGTATAAGACAAAAACTGTGGAACATAACCCTGCTTTTTAAATTTCTATTAAAAATCTATTAGAGATTGAACCCAGGGCTTCACATCTGCTAAGCAAGTGCTCCACCACTAAGCTGCATCCCCAGCCCTAAAACCCTGCTTTTGAATGAACACAGTACAGAACATTTAACCATGAACTACCCTACCACCTTAGTGTTAGAAATTGATTAAATGTTTGCATTATTTCCGTTAATTTTCTCGAATTCTTTTATGCTTCATGATCGCTTCCTTGGCTCCCTGGAATTCTTCACCAAGAAAGAGTCTCAAAAGAAAATATGAGACTGAAAACAAATGTTCCTAAGAATGAACATGTTAGCTCAACTTTTATAACCTGGAATCTATAACAACAACATTTAATCAGTTTAACCTTCAAGAAGATAAACTGGCAGGAATACATATATACATATATATATATATAGTAAACTTTACTGAATCTATGTATTACTCTATTCACAGTAAGGCATTTGACTCTCCATGAGATCACTGCAGTGAAGAAAAGAATAATTGGGACAAAAGAAATAACCTTATTTATTTTGATGCTCTCTATGTCCTCGACAAAATTTGCAAACATAAAAATACGTAATTTTTTTTAAAAAAAGAGGAACCAATGTAAAGGAAAATAAGATGGAGCCACAGACAAGGTCAGGACCTTAAAACTAGCACACCAGCCTTGGAATGTGCAGCAAATTCTCCACTGGTAAAAGTAACTTGGCATTATTATAAATATAGTTCTGGTGTCAATCATGCACCAAGATTTTTAAACAGGGTATTATATTTTGCAGTCATGCCTACCTTTCTCTCACGACTCTCAGAAAGTTTTTGGAAAACATTTTGATTTCGTTGCCCAGTTTTCTGGTCGATGCAAATCATCTGGCATCTGTGACAAGGCCCCAGAACCTGCCAGGTGAGATGGGGAAAGACAGAGTTGCCATGAAAGTAACCAGACCATCACACTTTGCAAGGAGAAATCATACAGATTGAACTTGCAATCCTCCTGCCTAAGTACAGAGCCCCAAAGTGGCACTTCCTCCAAATGCCTGCTTGTTAACCCAAAAGCTACTTCTTTAGCACTGAAAAGAAAAAGACCAGTGTAGCAGTGGGGGTGTAACTCAGTGGTAAAGCACTTGCCTAGCATGCAGGAGGCCCTGGGTCCAAATCCCAGGACTGTGGGAGAGGAAAAAAAACAAAAAGCAAGGACTTAAAGAAGAGTGCCTGGTCTGGGAGATCAGGAAGGAAAGAAGGAAAGCACTCAGTGATGAGAAAAACAAATTGGGAGAAGAGAAACCCCCAGAGGGTAAGCATTGGGCCACTGAGGGAAAGCCATCAGAAACAACCTTCATGTGCTTATATCCTTCACCCAGAAACTTCATGTCTAGGAATTTGACCTAAGAAAGGAACCAGAAGTGCAAACACAGTGTTAAATGTGAGGATTTGCCCTCATATCATTGATAGTAGGGAAAACTTGATAACATCATAAATGGCCATAGTAGAGAAGAATGGTGACGCAGACTATGCTGCATAGATGTGACCTATATTAAAAATTAATGCATAAAGTTTTTTAAGTATAATGGGGAAATATTTGTTTTATAAGTGAAGTAAACAGGAAATGTAAAGGAAAATAAGATGGAGCCTGGGCCTGGCCAGCCTCCCTGGGCCTGGCACCTGGAGAAGGGATGCCAAGGTCCAGTAGAGCCCACCAGCCCCAGGCCCAGGCCTCAGCTACCGCCCAATAGATAATATCTTGGGTAAAAATCCTGTCACTTTGTTCATTTATTATTCATTTATTATTATTTTTATTAGAGTATTTTGTGGGATTTTTTTTTTTTTTTTTGGTTTTGGTTTTTTGTTTGTTTGTTTGTTCGTTGGTTGGTTGATACCAGAGATTGAACCCAGAACCCGGAGGTGCTTAACCACTGAGCCATATCCCCAGCCCTTTATATATTTTATTTAGAGACAAGGTCTCATTAATTTGCTTAGAGCTTCACTAAGTTGCTGAGGCTAGCTTTGAACTTGCAATCCTCCTGCCTCAGCCTCCCAAGCCACTAGGATTACAGGTGTGTGCCACCACGCCCAGCTTAGAGTGAATTTTTTAAAGTGTGTGTGTATACTTATGTACATACATCCATACATCACACAAAAACACATGAAACGTAATACCACACTGCCTAACACAGGTCATACTGCAGTAGAACATCTACATTCGGTGGCCTGCCATGATCTTTTACTGCTTTGATAGCAAGAAAATCCCCCACAAATGTTAATATTTAAAAAGGAAGTTTACAATTTAACTGTAGTGAGATATTTCTTTGATTGCACACATAAAAGATGCAAAGGTATTCATTTACTGCTTGTTGGGTTTATGTTTATGTTTCTGTTTTTTTGAGACAGGATCTTGCTATGCTGCCCAGATGGACCATGAACACCTGAGTTCAAATGATCCTCCTGTCTCAGCCTCCCAGGTAGCTGGGACCACAGAAGCACATCACCCAGCCCAGCTACTGGATTTTTTTCTAACCATTCCTCCTCTGCTCGCTCATGGGCACTAAAATTAGAAGCACTTGCCTACTCTGGAAGTGTCTTGGCCTGTTCTTATCAATCACATTCTGGTCAGTGGGCATTAAACTAGTGGAGAAATAACTTCTCTGTGGTACCAAAGTCAAGATGCCCAGGCCACTCAAACAAGGTGTACTCTACTGGACCTCTGTCTCACGGCTTGCCCTTGGTGCTCAGCAGACCCACCATCTCTCCAAACCTCATCTCCACATCCAGCAGCTTAGCTGGCTTTGACAAAGATTCCGGACACTGTTTCTGAGATGCCAAGCCCAGGCCTGGCACTCGATCATGCTCAACAGTGGAAACTATCACTGCTATAGACGAGGATCCCTGAGATGGAACAGGAGCCAGAACTGCCCTCAGCTAGGAAATGTCAGACTCCCTGGACCTGGCACCTGGGGAAGGGACATCAAGACCCAGTAGAGCCCACCAGCCCCAGGTCTAGACCTCAGTACCCCCCAGTAGACAACATCCTGGGTACAAATCCTGTCACTTTGTTCTAAAGACCCTCTTAAAGCAGTTTCTCAAGGTAGCAGAAGGAGAAAAACTTTCCCTCTTCAAGTACAGATCCAAAGAAAATAATTTCCTTAGGATGTTGTCCTCTTTGGTCTTTTCTCTGGTACTCAATTGGTATTTTTAAAACTTGTGCATATAAACTCATTGAAAATTAAGTCAAATAATCCAGAAGCTTGAAGGAAATAAAACACTTCGCAGGGTCTCCCCTTCCCATCCTCAAGACAAACACTGTTTAGGGACTATGGCTCATCCAAGATCCTGGCACAAAACTGCATACAACCACACATCTGCAGTGTGTGGACACACCCTGACATCTGAGAAGCCACTTAGGTCTCTTTCCAATTATTCCACAATGCACGACGGACATCCTTCCACACCAGGGCAGGAAGAACCACCTCATCCTCGGGTTTTGCAATTTTCACCATGGATGACCTGGCATTCCCGTGGGCTGATAAACTTAGCTCTTCTCCTTTGGAGCCACATAAATATTCTCAATAATTTTGCAGCAGAGGTTTTAATCCACACAATTCTCTTTTTTGTTGGGATTTGTTTAAGGATCCACTTCCCAAAGTAAGATGATAAAGTCAACAGTGTAAAAGTATTTATGACTAATGATATCTGGTAAAAAAAAAAAAAATTGCTTTCTAAAAGAGATGTGCCAGTCTCAGAGCAACTGCTTCAACACAGAGTATTATCATCAATAAATACCTTCCATGGGCTGGGGTTGTGGCTCAGTGGCAGAGCGCTCGCCTAGCATGTATGAGGCCCTGGGTTAGATCCTCAGCACCACACATAGATAAATAAATAAATAAAGGTATTATATCCATCAAAAACTAAAACAAATAAACAAACAAAAAACTTCCAAAGACCTTCTAAAAGACACAGTGTTAACTATAATTATTTAATGATTGTCCATGATTCCATTTATGAATCTGTCGTAATTGGCTTAACCAACTTCCTTATGGATACTTAGGATATTCCCAAATTTTTCAAAATCACAATATTACTTCAATAAGTAATCTGGTAATATGTCTTTGCACACTTGTATGAGTATTTTTTTAATAATTTCTACCAGTAACATCATTGAGCCAAAGGGCAGGCAAATCTTAGCCTTATTAGTTGCTGTTTATTCAGAACAGCGACCTACAGACAACAAAGCATGAGGAGAGGTCATCTCAGAAAGGTTCCTTGACTAATGAGTTTTCCTTGTATTTATGTCTCAGGTACCTGTTCCAGGTGAGTTCCTGATAGTGCTCCACTCTAGTTTAGTTTTCTCTCTTCTTCTTCTTCTTTCTTTTCTTCCTTTCATCCTCCCTCCCTCTCTCATATACCCAATAAGAAATATTTAGTGCCTACTTTGTGCCAGGCAGGGTATTCAAGAGCAGGCATCTTTAAAACAGCAGAGACCCCATGATGGGAAACAAGGAAGAGTAGAGGAGGTCAGGATGGAGGGACGAGGAGAAACGGCAGGAGGGCCGGAGCCAGAGACAGGTCTGTAGGACAGAATCTGAGAAAGAAAAAAGATAGCTTTATGAATGGTGGAAGGTCAGCTGCCAAGACAAGAGGAAGATTGAGAGTTAAGTGAATAAACGAGATCCCTGGGACCTTTTGTTATATCATGTAATTTACCCCCTCCCCTGTCCCAGATCTGGAATTTTTTAATGAAGACTAAACATTTAGTGCTTTTCTGGATGGTCAGGTGATGGTCCCTTTCAGTGCAGAGCCTGCATGCACGGGAGCCATATTAAAGCCAGTTTATGCCACTGGCTAATACACTACTATTATTAAACCAATTTCCTTCCCCTCTGCAGAGCAGAGTGCATTCTCTGCAGATGCGATATCCTTCTGACCCTAGTTATTTCTTATCTTTCCTGTCCATTCCATCAACAATTACGTCTTGGGTGCTAATCAGGCCAGGACCATTCTAGGTCTAAGAGGTATAGCAGGGAACAAAACAGTTTTGGTCTCCACCTTCATATGCTCTGGAAGGATGAGATGAGCAGGTACCATGCAGAGTGTGTGGATCAGGGCCATCCTTTCCAAGGAGGTACTCTCTGACCTGGGACCATGGAGCCACATGCCAGGCAGAAGGGACAGCAAAGACAAGGTGCAGAGGCAAGCGGGTTGTTTTGTTTAGGGGATGGAGAAAGAGGTTTAATATCAGAGACACAGAGCAGAAGGGGTGATGGGCTTAGAGGACAGTAGGGTCAGATCTCACGGGGACTTATCAGCATGTGAAGTACAGATTTTAACCTAAGACTCTTCTTCTCTTTCTCATGTTTTTGAAACCCAAAGATTTGAGGAGCTCAGAGCCTGGGGAGAGATGGCATCAGTGGTTTTCCCTCTGCATGCAATCTCCTCCCCAGCTGCCAGAGAGGACAGAGTCAGAGCACATGGAGGAGATGGAGTGAACATGGTCATCGAGGGATCACCAGGCTTCTGGGTCCCCCTCCACGTGCTCCAGATGGCAGAAACCCAAGTTTCAGGAGCATGAGTTCTTACAGACAAACATTCTAAGAAAACAGAGTTTAAGCCTAGATGTGATGATGACATAGAGACCGCACCAAGCCCTCTGATGGTCTAGGGGCACATTCTCTGTTCCTTATCTGAAACTGACCACTGCACACTCGTAAGAAGTAAAGGTTAGACCATTCTAAGAGGTATCCCAAAATGCTGAGGTCCTTCCGCTGAGATTCTTTGAGTAAGAAACAAGGATTTCCACCTGTCACCACCCAGGTATGGGGTTGAGGTCAATCGCCACTGGCAACCCTTGAGGAAAGATGTTAGAACTTCCTGGAACTTACCTGGAATCTCAAGGGACCAATTGAGATCTCACCCCATTTCTCTTCTTCAAAAGCCCTTGTTCCATTGGTAATGATATTGGCACGGAAACGCGAGATGAGATCTTTCATCGGGAATAATTCCTTCTTTCCATTCTCATCACTGTTTTAGACATACCAAAAAGGGTGAGTGGAGGGAGGGTGGCAGATGATTGCACTGTTGTAATAATTCAGCATGCCTGCCACCCAATGCCTGACTTTATCAACTCTACTCCAGCCTGAGAGAATAAGGCCAAGAGACACTCATGTGCTAAGGACACATCAGCAACCCCTTTGAGATATGGTTTCACCTCCAGGGAGCAGCCCACAAAGGCAGACCTAGTTGAAGAGATGAAGGACTTTGGAAATCAGATGAACAAAGTTCCAATTAATAAATTGGTTAAGAAAACACCAATTCTACAAAGTGGGACAAGATATTCAAACAGCTGTCAACGGGATTAATTGACAAAAGCACCAAGACCACACACTCTTTTGGATATTAAAACATCATAAAGAAACATAGAGGGAGTTTCTTAACTTTCACCCAATCTGCAATTTTAACCAGCCTTTGCTATTTTTTTCATTCTTGTTTTGAATTTTTGTTTATTACCACAAAATGGTGCTCTGAACCTCTATGCATCCCTCACCCCCACGCAGAGAAATGCACTGAAAATAAGTCTTAACATTTCCCCGGCAAAAGAACATACTCGGTATGATCCCATTACATTAGGTCTAAAAGCAGGTAAAACTATCTAAAGTAAAAAAGTTAAAAAAAGAGGTGACCCTCAGTGGGGTTGACTAAGAGGAACATAAGGGAAGTTTCTGGGCTATGTCCTCTATTTGATCTGGGCATGGATTATATGGATGCAGCCATTTGTAAAAATCCATTGAGCTCTGTATTTATGGTTTTTGCACTCTGTGTACTTCTGTTTTGTTTTGTTTTTTTAAGTCACAGGCAAGGGTCCTTGAACATGGTGGAATTTGCCCTGGAAACAGAACTGAAAAGCTACAGGACTGGGGGAGAAGGGCTATCAAGGTTATACCAATTCCTTCTGGATGATGAAGGGCATGTGAAAAGCCAGGGACCAGTTTAGATTCACCACAAGCCATGTGCAGCTCCCACACCCTATGAGAACAGCAGCTTCCTCGGCTGAATGAGAGGGTTAGCACTTTGCAGTTCTAAAGTCCTTTGATTCTGAATTTGCATTCTGGGATATACACACTTTCTTTGTGTTTTGTAAAAGGGGAAGTTATAAGTCTGAAAGCCACTGTGCATGAGAAAATCCACTGAATTTTCAGATTCAGCACAGAAAAAAATACCATACAGGGGCCCCAGAAACCCTCGCCTTGTACGAGTCATGGGCTCAGTACTGCTGAGGTGACCTCTTAACACTGTCAGGGCCCACCTTTGACGGCCTGCGCCATTCATCAGCATTGCTCTAAACCAGATGATGGAAAATGTCGCCTCCTCCTGGTAGAAACTAGGATTGCAGTAAGTCTATATGCACCTCCTATCTTTTGCACACCAAGAATCCCACACAACTGCAGACCCACTCTCTCCTGGTTGGAGTGCTTGTGAATAAGGGTCCCTCGGGCCAAGAAAACTCAGTGAACACACAAGACCCTGAAACTTTGTCACAATTCTGTTCAGAAGGAGGACAAGCTGATCTATGGCAAAGGAGGACTGTTGTATTTAATTTCTACAAACCTATCTTTTAAGAGACCCTGGAGGGTCTGTTGGCTGTTTTCATTAAGTTGTTTTTGAGTGTGCACATGCATGCACATGACCACGTGGCACATGAGCGTCACAGGAGGCCCAGCTTCAGTCCTCCTGGCCTGTGCACAGGTGTCCCTGGCCAGTGGAATAGGAATGAGGAGTGCTATCATAGCTCTGGCAAAATGAGTGGGGTCTTCCCTAATAGTCTGACTATCTTGGGATTTCAGTTTCCTCTAAAGAACAGTGAGGGGTGGCCCAACCAAGACCCTTTCTAGACCTGAGGTGACCTCCTAACACTGTCAGGACCCTCAGAAGAGTCCTGGGTGAGAATGAGTAGGCAGGGGTGCTAGCCCTGTCTGATGGTGCAACTGACAAATAAAGCATGCCTGAAATTACAATTTTTTTCAATATTTTTTTGAGTTGTAGATGGACACAATCCCTTCATTTTATTTATGTATATTTTATGTGGTGCTGAGGATTGAACCCAGTGCCTCACATGTGCTAGGCAAGCGCTCTACCGCTGAGCCACAACCCCAACCCCCTGAAATTACAATTTTAAAAGCTTTACAGCCACTCCTTCTCAGTCCTCAAAATGCCTGCATGAAGTAGGGCAGGGATCCTAGGGGACAGGAGACAATAGGAGGGTGGGCAATGAAACTGGGTCAAATTGATGGCAACTTAATTAAAACAAATGTTAAGAAATGGAACAATGAGGGGCTGGGATTGTGGCTTAGCAGTAGAGCGCTCCCCTAGCACATGCGAGGCCCTGGATTCGATCCTTAGCACCCCATAAAAATAAAAAAAAAAAATAAAGGTATTGTGTCCAACTATATATATATATATATATATATATATATATATATATGAATGAATGAAATGGAACAATGAAATGAGAACTAGGGGTTCTCCACTAAGATCCTGAGGGTGTCAAGAAGGAGCATTGGAAGATGCTATACTATAGTTTGGATCTTAAGTGTTCCCCAAAGATCCATGTGGCAAAGGTTTGGTCACACTGTGGCAGTATTGGAAGGTGGTAGAGACTTTAAGAGGTAAGGTCTAGTAGAAGGGTCACTGGCAAAGCAGGGCGGGAACTTTGAAAGGGATTGTGGAACCCTGGTCTCTTTCTCTTTTTTTCATTAGCCCATCCTAAGGTCAGCAGTTTTGCTCCAACCATAAAGTGCCACAACAGGCCCAAAGCAACAGGGCCAACCTGGACTAGAACATCTAAAACTTTGAGCCAAAATAAAACTTTTTTTCTGAGGTACTTATTATAGTAACAGTAAGCTGACTAATAAAGTGTGGAAAAGAGAACCCTCAGGCAGATTAATAGGAACTGGTCAATAGGGCTTGCTGACTTCTCTAAGCCTTGCAGGCTCATATATAAATGAAGTCTGAACTCACTGACCCTCAGAGCCTTCCTCTGCAGGTAGGAGCTGGGCCTCACTCCCAGGGGCAGGTAGTTAACTGGTTTGCTAGTTCCAAGGAAGGGATCTTACCTGGTGCATAATTGCTGCTGAAGTTCCAGAATACTCGATGTGTTTATCAGCAGATACTGTGCCTCATTCACCAGGGAAAGGGTAGCTGCTGTGCCAGGAGGCAGATCTGAAAATGATGGAGCATTGAAAAAGAAGAGCTTGCTTTCTTGGAAGGTTAATGAATCTTGTTTGCATGAACATGCATTTTCAAAAGGTAGACACAATTTCTATAAGGGGAAAGAAAATCACACCCTGGCAAAAGCAAAAATGTTTTAAGCATAGGGCCAGACCTCCCAAAAAGCAGGAAAAATGAATTTCTAGAATGCTCAGTTTAAAATAATCTGGAGGAACCAGGTGCAGTGGTACACACCTGTAATCCCAGCAGTTTGGGAGGCTGAGGCAGAAGGATCCCAAGTTCAGTCCCAGCTCAGCAATTTAATGAGGCTCTAAGCAACTTAGCAAGACTCTCTCAAAATAAAAATTAAAAAGGCTGGGGATATGGATCAGTGGGTAAGCACCCCTGGGTTTAATCCCTGATAACAAAAAAAAATAAATTAAATAATATGGAGAAAATAACATAATAAATTTCAACAATGAAGACCTGGAGGCGATTCTTAGAGCAGGAGAGACGGGTAGAGGGGTGGAGTGGGTGCAGCTCTCCCTGAGACAGGACAAAGCAGGGGACTTGATAAGGCGGCAGGCCCAGGAAGAACTTCTGAGTCTAATCAAGGAAAAGATATTGACTTTACAAATAATGAAAGATTTTTAATAACTGAAAGGAAAATAAAACTATTAAAAAGAAACCTCAAATCCTCTGGCATTCTATCACTCAGCTTTGTTTGATGGGCCCGCCCTCACTATTTTTACCCTACCTGTTGATAAAAAGGGTTGGCTGGGTCAGGGCCTAGTGAATATCTCCAAACTGGGATTGTGAATCCCAGAGTACATGAGATGTGCAGTTCCTTTACTTCCATTTACCCTCACTGATAAAAAAAAAAAAAAAAAAGACTCTGCCAGAAAAGGGAGGTCCAATCCCAGCCCCTCCACAAAAGGCCCTTCTCCCACTTCACAGAGGAAAGGCCACAGGTCTCCTAAGACTCACTGGCCCTGGGGGCTGAAAATCTCCAGAATGGCAAACAAAAGCCCCATTCAAAACCCTGGAGCCAGGGCTGAGAAAATGTCTCCAAAGTTTTGGGCAAATGACCCTCCCGGTAAGTCCAATGGACTCTAATTCTTCACTGAAACACAAAACTAAAGAACCTAAGTAAGTTTTCAAGTGACAGATGATTAAAGGCATTTTAATGTTAGATCCCTGTGCTTCAGTCACGAAGTTCAGAAGAAAGGTTTGAGTGACAGTATGGTAACCAAAACCTCCTTCCTGCCCCCCCAACCCCTCATTATTACTGAAATGAGGTTTCTCAGAAGAGAGCCATGCTGAGCATAAACAGGTCTGGCCATAAGTGACTCATTCACAGATGTGGGAACCAGTGACTGGGAACCCAGCTGGTTCTGTAAAGGATTCATTTTCAGCAGTTTTTACTTTTATGTTTAATAAGTGGTTTTCAAAATATATAATATACTTATATTGCTTTCATCAATTGGATACTGTTTAAATTATAATAAAAACTCAATCCAAAAAATAATAATTTCCTAACACACATAGAGTTTTATGATCACAGAAAACTCCAAAATAAATTTAATATATTTCAATTTTAGTTTTATACAAATGTGATAGGGTGATCAATAAAAGACTTCAAGCATAAAATATAAAACACTAAGATAAAATTCTGTAGAAGAAGTGGGAAGAAAATAAAAGTTGAAGAAGGAAAAGGAACCGGATGCGGTGGCGCATACCTATAATCCCAGCAGCCTAGGAGGCTGAGGCAAGAGGATCACAAGTTCAAAGCCAGCCTCAGCAAAAGCGAGATGCTAAGCAACTCAGTGAGACCCTGTCTCTAAATAAAATACAAAATAGGGCTGGGGATGTGGCTCAGTGGTGGAGTGCCCCCGAGTTCAATCCCTGGTACCCACCCCTCCACCAAAAAAAAAAGAAAGAAAAAGAAAAGAAAGAAAATTTCTGTTCATTAAAAGACATATAAAAAAGAATACTCACGAGATTCAAATTGTATAGAATTAAGATTTCACTGGTTATGTTGAAAAAAGCCCCAAACAACTTTTACCTTAAAATGATAATATTTATAATGTGTTAGAAATAACATCCTTTTCAACTGTTTAGAATATTTTAAAAATTTAAAGGATGTAAAAATATACAAGAGGGGAATGTGACTTTTAAAAAGACTCCTAAGATGTGCCAATGCAAAAATGTTTAAAGATCTGAGGTGCAGGTGACAGGCTTGTGTCTGAACCTAACACCTTTGCCACACCCAGGCCCCAAACTCCCGCTGAATCTCTGATTTCCAAGTCTCCTGCGCTGATGCTGCCCCCATGCCAAGCCAGAAGTATCTTTCTAACACAAGTGGGGTCATGAAATGCCCCCATTAAAAATTCACTAATGAGTCCTGCAGCCACAAGATAAAGCACTGACCCCTCAGTGGCACACATTCCTTCTCTCCAGCTCTCCTGCTGCACTCCCCTGCCCACATTGGACCCTCCTAAACTCTGCCACCTGCTCCCACTGCTCCAGAGCAACCTTCCCACCTCTGGAAAACCCCTGCTTCCTGTTAAAATGTAACTGTACACTCCTCTGAAGCCCTCTGGTTCATTTTAAGTGCAGAGGATTCTCCCACACCCCTGTGCCCTTCATGTGGACCTTCATGACGTGACATTCTTTATGTTGTAGTGTGGCTGTCTACAGAGAAGTCATCTCACAGGACCAGGAACAAGGCGCAATACTCTCAGCCAGCCTCCCAGGACCCAGCCAAACCCAGCTCTGCAGCAGGAGCTTTGAATGATTGGAACTTAGAGATTTCACTGCTGCTCATTCTCCAGATAATTTATAAAAGTGGTACCAATCCTGAAAAATCCCACACTTGCATTTCTCTACCCATGGAAATGCCCATTTCTTTCTCCCCTTTAATCATGTCTTGAAGTTTACCCACATCCAAATGCTACCAATTAATCTCGTCAATGAAATAAGCATGAAATTGTCCCTTCCCCATCACACAGCAAGTCAAATTCCTTCCAAAACTTTTAAAAGTCTAAATAGATTATACCCTTTGACTCCTCTCTACATCAGAAATTTTCAAGGATTCATAGATTAACCTAGGAAGGCCCCTGGTAATTGATCATTAATAGTCAAAATGCTGTTCATATTTACAAGCCAGTCTCTCTGGGACTGGTCATTAGGCCAGCTCATCTCTAAATCAACTGGCAATGTAACTATGATCCATTCAGTCATTCATCTAGCACTTACTGAGCAACTATTACATGCTAGGTTCTGCTCCAAGATACAGCACCAAAGGGAACAGACAACAATCCCTGTTCTCACAGAGTTTACATTCTAGGAGAAGGAAAACAGAACAAAGAATAGTGAAAATCACACAGGATGAACAAAATGAGAAAAGCCCATTTACAAAATCTAACAGGGAAGGCCACTGAGGAGGTTCAAGCACAGACCAATTCTGCAGGGGGTGGGCTGCAAGGTTTCCCTGAGAAGGTGACATTTGAGTGACACCTGAAAAGGATCTTTTCTGCACACAAGGACCAGTGGACTTTCCAAGAACCTTATTCTGTACTGTTTCACTTCATTATAACAATGGCTCACAGTGGGGAAAATTTCAAAATGCTTAAAAGTTGAGTAGTTAAGATTTACAGAAGCTGAGGCACCAGGGGGTTCTAGGATTTGTCAAGGTTTCAGGTCTCTTTGGTGACATAACTAAAAACCCAGTACTCTTTGTTTCCAGATCTGATCTGAGGACACAGTAAGCCACAACTGAATTGTGCTTCTAAACATATGGGACGGAGGCTGAAGGCTTGAGCAGGGATCGGGAAGTTGGTGCTAAGCCCTCCTTGACCTCCTTGGGGGATCATGGCATCCACTCTTCCACTGATCTGGGGTCACCACAGCAGCTTTCTGCTAAGGGGGGACCACCCCTGCTTTCTGCATGTGTGAAAGTAGCCCTCTAAATCAATTTCATCAGCTGATTTTGACACGTGCAGAGTAAGCCAGAGGAAAGGGTCTCTTCTTTAAGAATCCATCCAAAATGTAATACCTTTTCCAAGTTTCTTCTTTGCATTTCGCTGGAAGCTTGAACTTTGTTTGATTAAGTGACATGGACGGCCAAAAAACTTTGACAACCAGCTTGCAACTTTTTCTCCACAGTCGTAAGTGTTTACTCTGGCAAGAAAAAAAAAGTAAAGAAAAAGATGAACTTTTATATAGTCAGATTAAAAATAGAATATTGCACAAGCCCCTAAGGAGAAGACATCCTGAAGTAGCAGGTGGCAAGAGAGCAGGAAACCTCTTTGCTGCTCTCTCTCCTGTGCTTTGAAACCCAAGTCCATGTTCCTTATTTTAGTACTGATGTTCCAACGGTAAATACATCTAACCTTTAGTTATCCAAAAAGCTTTATTAACCAAAACACTGCATTCCTCACAATGCAGCCAAGCGAAATGTACAATCAGGAATGAGCCTGATAAATAACTGAGCATGTTCTTAGATGGCAAGATTTCTATCAGAAGATTTGCTGTAGCAACATGTAAAAAAAAAATATTTGCCCAAAAATCATTGTCCTAACTGAAAATGCACTAGAATGAATGTCTACATTGGCCAAAATAGTTAAGCTGGTGCAAAGTGCCAGGAAGAAAAGGCAGAGCTGCTCCACTCCTCAGCCTCCAGAGTGGAGACTGGGCCCAAGATGCTCAACTGTACTGACTGTCATCTCACAAGCTCCCTCAAGCACTTTCCTGGGGATGTGGCCCCTCAGAGTCCCAAAGGGATCCTCCACCCAGGGACACCAATGTCTTGAATCTTATTTGAATGTAACTTTAGTATTTAATATATTACATCATGATTTGTATGATTGTGTATGTTCACAGCAGTGCAGATAGAAACGTAATCTGGTTTGATATCCATGCAGTATTACCACCTACTAGACCTACCCACTATCAAGTTCCTTGTGCTAGCTAGTAGGTAATTAACATATGAAAACTTTTCATTATTTACTGAACTGTTACATAGTCAGCTGTTATTGTGGGGGCAGGCGTAGAATTGGTTGGTATTAGATGGCATAGGTTTTCCATAAGATTGGAAAGCTATTTCACATTTTCAATTAAGATCACAAGGGGTGCAGACATTTGATGTACTCAGTAAAGAGATTTATAAACAAACATGTACCATCAAGAAATCAAAAAGAGGGCTGGGGGTGTGGCTCAGTGGTAGAGCACTTGCCTAGCATGTGTGAGGCACTAAGTTTGATCCTCAGCACCACATCAAAATAAAATAAAGGTATTGTGTCCATCTACAACTAAAAAAAAAAAATTTTTAAAGAAAAGAAATAAAAAAGAAGTGCTGTCACATTGAATCCCACTCTACATTTCCTAGACTTTAGCAGATGATTTATCATCAACAACCCAGATTAAGTAATACTTCACTATTATATGGTATATATGAGTCACCACCTGGACACTCTACTTTAGAAACCTGGGGACATCCTGACACCCCCTTTGCCCTCAGCCTTCTCACCCAACCCATCAGCTAGTCCAGGTTATGGTGTTTCTGTTTGTAGAATACCTCTGATGCCTACCTGATTTTCTCTCTGACCCTCGTCCTCCCCCTCATCTTACCTGTGTTGCTAGCACAGCTGCTCAGCTGGCCTTCCTGCCTACACCTCTCTCTCTTCTACCTATTCTCCACCCACCAGCCAGTCTTTGCAAAATGTGAGCCAAGCTGCTTCCCTCCCCATCGGATTGCTCTGGACTATTGCAGTAGCCTCCAAACTATTCTGGCCCTCTACCTAGCAGTGTTCCACACTCTGCAGGGAGAACACAGACATTCTAGTGGGAGAAACTCAAAACAAATAAACACACACAATATGTGGGAAACAATAAATGAGAAGGACACAAATACAGCAGGGCAAATAGAGAGGTGAAGCCAACTTCTGTGGGTGGTCAGGTGTTTATCTGAGAAGGAGGCTTTGGGGCAGAGCCCTGAGGGAGGGAGAGAATGAGCCCTGTAGAGTTCTAAGCAGTGGAAGAACATTCCAAACAGAAGGGACAGCGAGCACAAAGACTTGATAAAGGAGCATGATTGGTAGGTGTGAAGAATACCATGGAGGGGCTGGGATTGTGGCTCAGCGATAGAGCACTCTCCTAGCACAGGTGGGACCCGGGTTTGATCCTCAGCACCACATAAAAATAAAAGGCATTGTGTTGTGTCCATCTACACCTAAAAAATAAATATTTTTTAAAAAATAATTCCATGGAGCCCATGTGATCAGGGTGCAGCATGCAGCAGAGTGGATGGAGGGTGTGGCCAACGAGGGGCTCCTCAGGGCAATGCCCTCGTCCCCCTCCATGCCACCCTGCCAACACAGCCAGGATTTTACCTGCTTCAGAGTCTCACCTGTCAGCACAGACCTTGCTCTGGCAAATCTGAGCCTGTTTACTGTCTTCCTCAAGAGGCACCTCTATAGGTTCCATCCCTAGTGAACAAAGATGAAGACAAACATCATTACGTACAAAGAACAGCTATGCAAGAAAAGCCCGTTGCCCTGAAATACACAGGAATTTCAATGACACTGGAATTTGGTTGCATCAAGAAAGGGTCTGGGTCCTGGAAACCTTTTAATAACACAAAGATTTTCTTCAGCCACCAAGAGCATGTGCTTTAAGCAATTTTCTCATGAAAGATTCTATGTAGGGACAACTACATCCATAATCTGCAAATTACTTTGAAAGATTTCTCTATTCCATTTTACCCCACATCCTGTGATCATTGTTCTCTAAGCCACCTTAAATTCTTTATTTTTTCAATATTTTTAAAATATCTTTTAGCTGTTGATGGACCTTTATTTTATTTATTTGTGTGTGGTGCTGAGAATCGAACCCAGTGCCTCACACATGCTAGGCAAGCGCTCTTTCACTGAGCTACAACCCCAGCCCTAAGGTACATTAAAATCTTTAGAAATAAGCAATCAGGCATGAAGTTGCATTCCATAAAGACATCAGCATAGAGTGTCAAAATTCTCAATCCCTGGGAATCAGCATCAAATTGTATTCCTGCATCAATCATCATTATTGCAAAAAAAAAAAAAAAACTAATAATGATAACAATAAAACTTACTTTGTCAGCAGGATTGGAAAGTTATACTTTCTTCTTTATAAAAGAGTGTGTAACATACATGCATTGGAAAAATAACAATAATTAACATGTTAATATCCTGGGTACCTGAACTTGAACAATAAGGGTCCAATAAGAGAACATTATATATCATTCTCAGTGACAAAAATAGATACAAAAATATGAAACCCAGGAATGTATTTAAAAATTACTGCCAATAACTGGGGATGTAGCTCCATGGTATAGAAGTTGCCTAGCATGCACAAGACCCTGAGTTCAATCCTTAGTACCACAAGAAAAGAAAAAAAAAATTACTGCCAAGTAGTATTTTTCTTTCTCAGGATATCAGGGATACTCAATATAAAAAAATCCACAAATGTAAAATATCTCATTAATAGACTGTGGGAGAAAAATAGGATAACCAACAGATTATCTTTCTAAGAATGGACAATTAATCTTGATAAAAGTTTTATAAAATAAGAACTACTTTAGCCTGAAAAAAAATAAATCTTTTAAAACTCCAAAGTAAACATCATTCTTATTTTTGAAATATCGGAAACTTTCCATTCGAGTCAGTCCCACTACTGCTCCATTCAACATTACCAAAGAAAACTTAGAAAAATGTGCTCATGTAAGAAAAAGAGAAATAAAAATTGGAAAGGAATATAACAAAACCACAATTATTAGAAGAAACAGGAAATCAGAAATTTAATAAAAGGCTTCTTTACCCTGGGAAAACATTGAAGCCAGCAGAGAGATTTGCTACACCTAATCCCTAGAGACCCTGTTCCTAGTGCAGCACCATATAATTAGGAAAAGAACCCCCCCTATCTCTCAGCTTCACCTAGGAAAGGGAAAGGGTTGGTTTACATAGTCAGTACCCAACTTTTCCAAGGGAACTCCCCAGAGGATTGGCTTCTGCCTTCATAGCTTGGAGCCTGGAGCTATGCATGAGTTTGGCATAGTTAAGCCACCAAGGGGAGAAGGGAGGCAGAAACTTGAACTGGTAGATGCCATTGATCCTCCCTATTCTCAGAGCAAACAGACAAAAATCCAAAGCTGCCAACTTCTGTTAAGGGAGAGAAAGAGTTAGTAGTGACCCTGAATCTCTAGCTGGGCTCATTGGTAAGGGTCTTCTCCCATATGAGGCTTGTTCATGAAGACTGTGAGAGGTTTTTTCTTTGTCTAATACACAGACACCAACATAGAGAGCTGAGAAAAATGAAAAAATCAGAAAAAGATGTTCCAAACAAAGGAATAAGAGAAATTTCCAGAAACTGACCCTAATGAAATGGAGCTATATGATTTACCTGATAAAGAATATTTCTCAAACTCTTATAAAAGATACCAAGATAAAGAGGGCAATTCATGGGTTAGGGTTGTGGCTCAGTGGTAGAGCACTTGCTTTGCACATGTGAGGCACTGGGTTCAATCCTCAGCACCACATATAACACATATAAATAAATAAAGGTATTGTGTATCCATCTACAATTGAGAGAGAGAGAGAGAGAACACAATTCATGAACAAAGTGAATATATTAACAAAGAGATAAAAAATTTAAAAGTACCAGACCAAAATTATAGAGCTAAAGAACAAAATAACTGAACTAAAAAAAAAATTTCAACTGCAAACTAGATAAGCAGAAGAATGGATGAGTAAACTTAAGCATGTGTCCTGCAAAAAAATTCATTCAGAGGGGGCAAAAAAGAAAGAAGAAAAAAATTTAGGGAATTATGAGACACCATCAAGTAGATCAGTATACCCATTATGGGAGTCCAAAGAGAAGAAAAGAACAAAAAGTTTATTCAAAGATATAATGGCTGAAACCTTCCCAAATACAGGGAAGCAAATGGACATCCAGATCTGAGAAACTCCCAAAACACTAAATAAAATTTACCTAAAGACATGCACACTATGACACAAATAATCAAATTGTCAAAAATTAGCCAGGTGTGGTAGTGCACACCTGTAATCCCAAAGGCTCAGGAGACTGAGGCAGGAGGAACACAAATTCAAAAACAACTTCATCAACTTAAAGAGGCCCTGAGCAATTTAGGAATACCCTGCCTTAAAATTAAGAATAAAATAAAAAGGGCTGGGGATATAGGTCAGTGGTTTAGTGCCCTTGGATTCAATCCCTGGTACAAAAAAAAATTTAAGTAAAAAAATCAAATACTTTTGAAAGAATTGTAAAGTTCTGGACTGGTATCCAGAACATATAGTCTCACGAGTCAATAATAAAAAGGACGAATTATCCACTTTAAAACAGGCAAAAAAAAAAATCAAAGCGATTCTTTTGAAAAAGATATACAAATGGACAATAATTTAGGAAACAATATAATAACCACCAAGTGATGAGTGGATATGGCACACCATACAGTGGGACATTATTCCACAATAAAAATGAAGTACTGATCATGCTACAACATGAATGCCTCTGGAAAACACTATGTCAAGTGAACAAGCTTATCACATATTGTATGATTCAATCCATGTGAAATATTTACAATGTGAAAATACATAGAAACAGAAAGTAGGTTAGTGGTTGCCAAAGACTGGAAATGAGCCTGGGAATGGGAAGTGACTACAAATGGGCACAGAGTTTCTTCTTCTTGGGGTTGATGAAAATGTTCTAAAATTGGTTGTGGTAAAGGTTATACAGCCTTGAGAGTACACTAAAGAAAACACTGACTGTAAACTTTATTAAATAGATGAATTTCAAGGTATGTTAAGTAAATAGCAACAAAGTTAGAAAAAATAAAAGGATAGAAAATGATATACCAGGCCAACAAATCAAGAGACAGCTGGGGTCACTTGTAATATCAGATAGATAATTTCATACTTCACAGTTTGGAACAAGGAAGATTACCATGTACAAAGAGGGAGATTACTTAAACAGGGACAATCCACCAAGAAGATATAATACTGAGTAAAGCAAAACTAACAGAAATATTCAGGAAAATTAGACAAAGCCATAATTACACTCCTCTCAGTGATAAAATAGAGCTAATAGGCAGAAAAATCAGCAACTACATAGAAACACTGGATAATACCATCAACCAACTGGATCTAATTGACATTTGTAGAAAATTCCACCCAATAACAGCAGAATACACAGGAGATGTTCATGGAAACAGAAGATATCCTGGATCATAAACCAAACCTTTGCAAACTTTAATGAATTAAAATCATACAGAGTATGTTTCTCTTTTGGAGAGTTTAATGGAATTCAAATCAATAATAGATAAGAAGAAAATCTCCAAACATTTAGAACTTAAACAACACTTCTAGGTAATTCAGGGGTCAAAAGAATGTAAAGGGCATAAATAATACCCCCAAAAGATACTTGACATCATTAGACATAAGTAAATGAAAACTAAACCATGAAATAATATTACACTTTCATTAAAATGAACCACCATTTGACCCAGTTATCACATGCCTCACTATATACATAAAAGACTTAAAAAATCAGCATACTACAGTGACACAGTCACATCAAGGTTGACAGCATCTCAATACACAATAGCTAAGCTGTGGAACCAACTTAGGTGTCCTATATATGTAATGGAATATCACTCAGCCATAAAAATATAATGACTCTGTGACATTTGCTAGAAAATGGATGGATCTGGAGACTACCATGCTAAGTGAAATAAGCCAATCCCAAAAAAAACAAAGGTCAAATGTACTTTCTGATATGTGGATGCGAACACACAAGAGGGGTAGGGGAAAAATAAAAGTTCAGTAGATTAGACAAAAGAAAATGAAGGGAAGGGAGGGGGACAGGAAATTGGAAAGTCAGTGGAATAAATCGGACTTCACTTTCTTTTGATCATATATAAATGAACCACAGTGAATCTCCACATCATGTGCCTCCATAAGACTGGGATCCTAATTAGAATAAGAATGTACTCCATGTTTGTATAAATTTGTTCTTTTTAGTTATACATGACAGTACTCTACTGTCATGTATAACTAAAAAGAACAAATTTTAAAAATAAAAATAAATGTTTAAAAATTTTAAAAAATATTCGGACAATCCCAATTTTGCTGGGAATGCAAGATGGTACAACTCTAAGAAATAGTTGGGCAGTTTCTTTTCAAGATAAACATATTCTTGCTGTATTACTCAGCAATTCACTCCTAGTTATTTTTTAGAGAAATAAAAACTTCTTATCACCCAAATATCTGCACATGCATGTTCACATTGGTTCTATTCATAATTGCTCAAAACTGGACAGTGCTATCTGTAATGCCTCCAGGGGAGGGGAAAATTAACCACACCTCCAATTTCTATAATCCTGTGTCCAACAGCCAGAGTCAAGGGCAACACAATATTTGGCTTATGTGTGGCACAAGGCCTAGTTTCCAGGAGGCTGCTGTCCAGCCACAAGCCCCCAGGGCTGGTCAGTCCATTGGTGTTTGCAGACCTGGCTGGAGGCTATTTGTACATAATGGCTTATACATACTGAGATGTCTCAGGAAGGGTTCCCAAGACACTGGAGACAAAGGTTGGAACAAAAGAAACTCACTTTTTAAATAAGATACCATTTGTCTACTCAAAAATAGTGAACAAGCAAAAATTAAAAAAATTATTTAAAACTAGAAACAATTCAAATATTCTTCAATGAATAGATGGATAAATACACTCTGCTACTTCCATACCTTGGAATACTACTCTGCAATCAAGAAGAATGAACTACTGTTACATTGTTACATTGAGTAACTGGGGTGGATTTCAAAGGCATCATGCTGAGTGAAAGAAGGTAATCTGAAAAGATCACATACTGTATGATTCTGTGGATAGAACATTCTCAAAAAGATAAACCTACAGTGATGGAGAGCAGATCACTGGTTGCCAGGTGTTAAGAGCAGGGAAGGGGAGACTACAGAGAACTAGCATAAGGGAATTCTTTGGGGGTGATGGAGTTGTTCTGTATGTGGATTATGGAGTTGGCTACACACATATGGGAGAACAGAAGGCCAAGAGTTGTCCACCAGTTTGGAAGAATGAGCTCACAAGACTTCTTCTGTAACTCTAGTAATATTGGCCTATTGGCTCAAGGAAAAAAAAAAAACTTGGAACAGAAGAACATACAGCCAAGAAAACAATCATACATATATAACAATGTGGGGCTGCAGTGGTAGCTCAGTGGTACAGCACTTGCCTAGCATGTGTAAGGCACTGGGTTTGATCCGCAGCACCATGTAAAAATAAAAAATAAAATAAAATTTCAAATATATGTATATATATGAAAATGTGATGTCACAAAAGATCAGTTACAAGTTAGGAGAGAAATTTTAATATTCTGTAAATGGTAGGTAGGGTGAGGAAGGAGGAGCAAAAAGACCTAGGAGAGGTACATAGAATAATTCAGCTTTATAGTATGAATATTCCTCAAAAAACTTGTAATTTAACCCAGCTATTCCACTCCTGTTTATACCCAAAGAACTTAAATCAGCATACTACAGTGACACAGCCACATCAATGTTGATAGCAGCTCAATTCACAATAGCTAAGCTGTGGAACCAACCTAGGTGCCCTTGAACAGATGAACAAATAAAGAAAATGTGGTATATTTACACAATATAATATTACTCAACCATAAAAAAATGACTTTATGACATTTGCTGGAAAATTAATGGATCTGGAGACTACCATGCTAAATGAAATAAGCCAATCCCCAAAACCAAAGGTCAAATATTCTCTCTGATATGCAGATGCTAACACACAACAGGGGGAGAAGGGAAGAATAGAAGTTCAGTGGATTAGACAAAGGAATGAAGAGAAGAGAGAAGGAATGGGAATAGGAAAGACAGTGGAATGAATCAGATATAACTTTCCTATATGTGTGTATTAATAGACCATAGTGAAACTCTACATCATGTACAACCACAAGAATGGGATCCTAATTAGGATATACTATACTCCATATATGTACAATATGTCAAAATATACTCTATTGTCATGTGTACCTAAAAAGAACAAATAAAAATTCAACTTTATTTGCAATATTTATTATTATTATTCTTTATTTTTTTTAAAAAAAAAAAAAGGAGGAAAGAAGAATCTGAAGGAAATGTGACCAAGAGTTAAGATTTTTTAGAAGTGTGGATGATATAATTGTCTATTGTGTTATTCTCCTCTGCTGTCCAACACTAACCACTAGACACCTTTAACTAATTAAATTAATTGAATAAATTGTAAGAGTCAGTTCCAGTGTCCCACTAGCCACCTGTGACTGGTTGTTAACAATTGGACCAGATAGTGAACATTCCCATCATCACAGAAAGTTCTGAACAGAGCTGGTCTATACATTTCTGTATGTTAGTTCACAATAAAAATTATTAGCAAGGAAGAATTAGGACTGGGGGCATAGCTCAACGGTAGAGCACTTGCTGAGCATACACAAAGCCCTGGATTGGAGTCCCAGCACCACACACTGAGAAAGGAAGAGTTAATGCCTACAGTACATATTATAACAAGAGAAGGAATTAAGAATATAGGTAAAGGGCTGAGGCTGTGACTCAGTGGTAGCCACTTGCCTGGCATGTGTGAGGCACTGAGTTCCATTCTCAGCACTGCATATAAATTAATTAAAAAAATGTCTATCAACAACTAAAAAAATATTTTAAAAAAAGAATATAGGTAAAAAGGGCATCATATAATTTCAAAGTTTATACCTAGTTACTTACTGATTGAATGGTCGGGTTGTCACCTCTCCCAAGAAATTTTCCAAAACAAAAGGAAATTTTGCTGGGTACCATTTCACTTAGTCTAGAATAATTTTAATATGTAATAAAAGAAAAGCCATTCCAACTTCTGATTAGGCAAAGGGGAGGGTGGAGGGGGTTATGAGGGTAGGAAAGATGGTGGAATGACATGAACATCATTACCCTAGGTACATGTATGATTGCACAAACGGTGCATCTCTGCACTGTGTACAATCAGAGAATTGAAATGTTGCTCTCCATTTGTGTACAATGAATTGAAATGCATTCTGCTGTCATGTACAACTAAGTAGAATAAAAACTTTAAAAACAAAAAAAAAAAGCCATTCTATTCCCATCACACGAGTAGGAAAGCCGCCCTGTGGGAAGGAGCCCTTTTAGACCTTGTGCTTTGATGACCATGATCCTTTGCTGCAGGTCAATGAAGGGCTGGATCAGGCAGAGGCGGGGCTCCTGCTTCTGACTCAGGCAAATGCCGTTGTGATTCACAACCATCCAGCTCCGGTCATACAGCAGCCCGTGGTTGCCTACAGGCCACTTGGTCACCTAAACAAAAGGTAGGAGTATTTTAGACCAAGGCAAAACTGATCTTCACATTATTGAACAGGGGCTGCACAAATCCAGATGGACTTCATGAATTCAACACATATTCTCAAAGGAAGAAAGAGAGGAGGAGGAGAAAGTGGAGGAAGAGAACAAGGCAAATGGAGGCAGCAGGGAGCGAGATTTCCCTTCAAAATACAAATTATACCTACTGCCCAGATCTTGATGTCTAATACTATTCTCCAACAGAGAGAACTGGGTGAAGAAATGGTCATTCTAGGACCAGGTCAGGTCAGTTTGGAGGAATGAGATGTTAAGACTCATTCTGTAACTCTAGTCTTATAGGCCTATTGGTTCATGGAAAAATAAATTTCTACTGAGTCTCCATATCCTCATCTGTAAAATGGGACACCAATGCCTGCCTGGGCCATCTTTTTGCTTATCCTAGAGAACAAAACTCATCTATGAAAACAGATCCCTCATTGGTAAGGGGAACACGGAGTCCTCACCTGCGTTCATTCAGGAAGAAGTGAATTTGCTGGTTTATGATCTTAGCCTGGAGGCCAGGCCCTTATGGGACCACTCTGAAACACAGGCCAACAAACAGCCCTGACCTTGGTATGTCAAATGAGGAGCCAGAGAGCCTGTCATCCCAGAGGCTTAGGAGTCTGGAATATTTGCCTGGAACTTGAGACACACATGGAGATTATAGAAAGAGAGCCTCAGATTGGCCATACCAGGAGAAATGGCTTCTTGGAAACCAGGGCTAGTTGCCAGACAAGGGAAGACTCCTGTCCCCCAGGTGCAAAGAGGGCCCAGCCAATATGTTTGCAGATATAACATATGTTGTCCTTCAATATCTGTGGGGGATTGGTTCCATGACTCCCCACATAGACACAAAATCTGTGGATGCTCAAACCCCTTGATTAGTGGTACAGTATTTGCAGATAACCTGCAAAAATTCTCCCATGCACTTTCACACTCCAGGTTATTGGTACTACCTAGCACAATATAATTGTTATGTGCTGTTGTTTAGGGAATGATGACAAGGAAAAAGAAAGTCTATATATGCTAACGACAGATGCATTTAAAATAATTTGTTTTGATTTGAAGTTGATTGAATCAACAGATGCAGAACCATAGATAGATACAGAAGGCTGGTACAGTTTTCCTGTAGGAAGCTCTGAGCAGAACAAATCTCAGAGCATGGACCCAAAGGTCAGCAGACCCATGTTCAAATCCTTGCTCTGTCATTTGTTTGCAGGTGACCTGAACAGAGTGCTGAACCTTAATCCATTCATGAACTACATCTATGGAATAGGGATAATGTCACCCTTCACCTCGTGTGGCTGCTTTAAGGATCAAATAAAATGAAGCATGTTAAGTGCTTCAGCAAGGAGCTAGCACGTGCATTCAAGGAAAGTGACAGCTATAATGACTAACAGGTGTGTGACACTCAGAAACAGGGTCATCCCAGGGTCCCCATGAGCAGAATCATGTTCAGAAGTCAGCCTGTAGGTAGAGAGGCAGAACGAGAATGAGAACAGCATTTCATACGACAACTCTGACATAGTACTTTGATTTCTGCATGCTTTTCTTCACGTGCTACATCTTTTCTTCAATTTATCCCCCTCAAAAAAAATCCCATAGAGGAAGCAAAGAGAAGCAGTTTCTGTGCTGCAGCGAAAGCTCTTACCTCAAAGGCAGCACAGGACTTGATGGGGTAGAGGTAAAGGTTGGTGACAACGCGTGGCCCATGGTCCCCATGCAGGGCACCTGCAGCTTTTTCCAAAGACAGCTGCTGGCTTCTGGTGGCCTCACTTTGTGGTGGATGCAAACACATGGCATTGGAACCTGGATGAGAGTCAGGGCAAACCCCAGAGCCTGTGCCGATGTCATTCTGAGGCAGGACATGTCTGTCTGTGACAGCAGGCATGTCCTGGGCTTTGCCCTCTGCTGATGGGACTCCAGCTTCCCTGGGACCAGCCGGAAGCTGATCACTTGGTGAGCGCAGGCGGGTAGCTATGATGAACCTGAGAAAGGCCTGGGCGTCCTCAAGTGTAGACATGTATCCAAATGAAACCCTCACAGATCCTGTAGGCTGCCCATCTATGAGGTCGACGTCATCTCCACAGACATGACCAGCCTGGAGTACAAGGGAGGTAAATCAGCCAGAGGGACTCACGCCTTCTGGATCAATCAGAAACAGTTTTGTAACACAAATTTTGTCAATTTTAAAATTAACCCAGGAAAACAGACCTACTACACCAACATACGCTGCATGTATGAGACACGGGGTTCAGCTCTGAATGCTCAGGGGCCAGCTTCCTGGACCCCATTTTGTTTAGCTGTGAACCAACACCAATCTCCAAAGGCCGTGAAAGAGCTTAGCAGAAATACTTCCTGTAAAGTGTTGAACCCAGAGCTGGCACAGTGCTGGCCACAGAGGGGTCAAAGAACAGACCAGAGTTTCACAAGCCCTGAGGGTTGGCTTCCCTGTAAAACCAAGGCTGAAGCAAAAGAAATACCTGCTGGCCAGCCCCTCAGTCCCTATGAGAACCAAAGAGAAGCCGACATCCCTGAGAGATGCCCCTTGACATGAACGAAAGACAGAGATGCTGTCCCTAAATGACTTAGGCCCAAGTCAACCTAAGTGTACCCTCTAGGAGGGAGGAAAGAAGCAGAAAGATGTCCGTCTCTTAGCCCAGCCGCCTGGTACTGGTCACCGGTCAATGTAGCATATAAGGCTACACCTCCCACGTGCTAATTCCAGTCCAGTCAGCCAAAGAGATGGGACCATGCCATTCCACACAATCAAATGTTGCATCTAGAACTGCATTTATTCTAAGCCTCTCTCTCCCTCTCTCCCCACCCCACCCTCTTTCTCTCCATCTCTTCCCCATCACTCCTTTTAAATAAAATCCAATTTGTGGTTAGTTGGAATCTAGTACAAACAAATTCAGCAGCAATCAAAAGAAACTCAAAATTAGAAACCTCCAAAATAAATAAGGGCTCTTTGCCACTCAAACGATTCTACTCTTATGAAATGGTTCAAAACAGACTGCACCCTGAAGTGGAAAACCTTGGCCCAGGAGAGAAGGGAAGGCAGGGATTCAGAGAAACAAAGAATCCCTAGAGCCAGGGAAGAGTTCACGATTTGTAGAGAGGCTCACTCTAGCTAGGGGACCGTCCCCAAGGAACGCTGAACTAGTTAAGGGTGTGTCCTTGCACATGCCTCCTTAACAGCTCTCTCTGCCTTTAAATTTCTGCCCTCAAAGTAAAAAGTGAATCAGAAACTACTGCCATCAAGATAATATCTTGAAGTAGTTTCTACTCATTCACCTCCTTTTCTTTTGTATAGCCTCAGAATAGGCCCCAAGAAATCAAGCCAAAGAACTAGCCCCACCAGACACATGACCAGTCAAAGTGCAGCTGACCCCTCCCCACCACGTCGTCTCGGTGATCTGAGTCACAGCACTTGGGCCATGGCACTGACCTGAAGATGCTTCTTGACCTTCTCATTGCTTATCCCCAGGTGCCTCTGGCAGGCCCCAGTGTTGCAGAAGCAGCCAGTTCGCAGGTGGATGTTGTACAGGCTGGCCATTTTGTCTACCTGTGGATTAAACATGACACACAGCAGGTGTTACAGATGTCCAGTGGTACTCTAATTGCCAGGTCAGCATTTAGGGCCTTTCCCAATAATAAAACAATGATCTTGTTACTAAGGAAAAAAACTAAATAAACCCTCTAGCTTTGTTAGTTGATTTAAAAATCACTGATTTTTGAGGTCACATGACTGGGCAAGGGCAATACTTATGAGTCTCCCACCAGCTATGCTGTGGCTCCTCCTCTGACATGTGGGTTATGATGACCAACAGCTGCCTGCATCACTCTTCAGGGACCTGATGGCTACTTTTGTTGAAAACACTGACTCTTACTTGGGCCTACATGTGTCTGAGAAGTGATTGGAATGAAATGAAAAGACTTGACCTCTCTGTCTTCAGATTGTATCTGTCTCCTTTAGGGCCTTCATTTTTAGGTCAGATTCTATGTAGCTCTGCACATAGAACATTGTTGAACATTTCAGAAATGTCTTGTCCCAAAATACAACAGAGGGTTATAACTTGACCCAGACCTGCCTGGTCTCTCCCCTCTTATAGCTAAAGACACCTATTAGGTGCCATGACCTGAAACACCAGACTATGAAGGTAGTGAAGAGGTAGCCCTCAGGTTCCTGGAAGCTCTCCATCTATCCCCAGAAAAGACATGAGTATTCCTCCCTCTGTTAGCCTCCCTCTTCCTCATGGCTCCTATTCTATACCCAGAACCCTCAATCCCTTGGTGCTGAGATGCTGATTTATGAGTAAAACTCCCTCTTCTCCATTTTTGGCTACTGAATAAAACCTTTCTTTCCCCCCAACACTTCTCTCTCAGACATTGATTTTTCAGTGGGATGAGCCCCTGGACCTGGATTCAGTAATAGTCTGAGACTGGAAGTTTGCTCTAAAATGGCATGTTCTATGACAGGTTTATTAAAGATTTGATAAATGTTTGGAAATAAAGGTTCAGCCAGTCAAATTACAGAAATATGCTTGAGAAAAGTGAAAATATCAAATTCAGGAGAAATTCCATGATCCCAGATGTTTCCAGCAAAGTTCACAAGAATAACACTTTGGCGCCACTGGGCAGCTCCTTGGCATCAGCTGCCACAGGGTCTGATCACAGAGCCAGCCCCAGCAAGGTGCCATTCCCAGTAGCACCACCTGGGCTCTCAATCAATCTGGAAATCATTGTGTCATATGCATATCCTTTTCATGTTTCTCAAACTTTGGGTTCAACCGGAATAGTCGCTCAGTCTGAGCTGGGAACTCAGAAGTTCCCAAGTCTCTTCTGATCTCTAAAGACTCTGGAAGGTGGTTCACATTCACTTGAGCCCACAAGAATGTTTGTGCCGACTCTTTGGCTGTGAGTCAAGGACTCTACTCCCTTGGGGCACCCTGTGTGGGTCCTCAGCCCAGGTAGGTCAGGCTGAATTCAGGGAGAGAGTCATCTAACTACATTCAAGGAAACAAAGACATCTTACCCACATGGGTAAGCCTTTGAACGTCACATACCAAGTGTCCAGAGGCAGCCACAAGGAACATAGTGTCCCCTGCAGACCACCAGTCACCACAGTCAGACTGGCTCTTGGCTGAGCAACCGTGCCTCCCATAGTCCCTTGTCAAGCTCTGCCATCTCCCCTGGTCTGTCAGAGTGAGAAGAAGCCATCTCATTTTCTGGATTGAACCTGAAGGTCCTTGGAGAACAACTCTGTCCCTTCACCCTTGACTACTAGTGACGTCCTGGAGGTCTCTGCACTGTGAGGTGAGACTTGGCAGAACTTCTGGGTCCAGCCAGCTCCTTCTTCAGTGTCCAGTCTCCATTCACAGAACACCATCTAGGGAAGCCCCGCCCCTCTCCCAGACCAGCTGTATCAGAAAGGACAATAGAAGCCCCCAGTGGCCATCCCTCCTCTCCCATATTCACTGTTCTGGTTAGCATTGCTGTAAAACAAGCCACTCAAACTTGGTAGAATGAGACAAAAACCACTGTATTGTGCTCATAGTGACAGTGGGTCAGGAATTCAGATTGCTCACAGAGGAGGCTTCTCTCTGTTCCATATCTCAAGTCCTAACTGGGACGACTCAAAGTCTAAGGCTTGACATGATCTGAAGACCCATTTATTTACTCATTTGGGTGTCTGATTACAATGCTGGAAGGGATCAAAATTTAGGGCGGACAACCATAGTGGCTGGGCGTGGCCTCTCCATTTGGTTTACCTCCCTCCAGCATGGCAACCTCAGGGGACAAGATGGCAGCTTACATGGTAACTCAGAGCTCCATAACTGAGTGTTCCAGGCAACAAAACATGCCATCACCTTTTCTGACCTAGCCTTAAAAGCCACACAGGGTCCCCTGTGTCATATTCTATTAGTTACAAGTGATTCACAAACTGGCTCAGATACAAGGGAAGAAATATTGGCCCCAGCCTTCCATGGAAGGAGTGTCAAGGTCACCTGGCAGAAGGATGTGGAGGGAAGACATTACTGCAACCATGCTTACACTCTGTCCCAATTTCCCACTTATGAGTCAGTCTCCTCCTGCCTTCATACCTAGGGAATTTCACCCAGGCCCAGCCAGGTGTAGGAGGCTGATCACAGAGGCAGGATGAGCATAGGGAGGGGTGGGAATAAGCCCAAGTGCAATGCACAGAAGCATCCCAGCCAGGAGGCTTGGTGTTCAATGTTCACTGAGCCCTTACTTTATCCCAGATCCTGTAGTAAGTGATGTGTATATATTACATCTCATTTCACCCTCATAACCACAATATGAGCAAGGCATATTGTCATCCTCGTTTCTTAGAGTGTTAGAAAGCTTAAGACAATTTACCCAAGATCACAGAGCTAGCAAGAAGTGGTCAGAATCTGATCCCATGTCTTAGTCACCATACACAGTAAGGACCCCCACCAGTGGGGAGAACAAAATTAGGAGATCCGGAAATTGAAAACAAGAACTCAAAGACTTCACATAGAAGGTTAAATTCTTTCACTTAGCCCCAGAAAAAGAGATAACCAAACCCAACCATGATGCCATCTGATCTTTCTGAAGGCTATCAAAATCCCTGTGGAATTCCCATACTGTGAAGCTTCCTTAGCCCAGGGTAACCATAACTGGAGTTTCCTGAACCACTGCAGGTGGCTACACCCCAGTTGTGAAGTTCACGGGGTGCTTTCCCCTATCAATGCTCAAAGGAAAAGACTGGCCCTGTGCCCAACCTCAGGGAGTGAGCACCCCTCTGTTCACTCAGTCTGGTGACTCCTCCTCTTTGAGTCTTCTCCTCCAGCGACATCTGCCATGGGACACATCATGGTCACCCATTGCCCTCTCTCAGTCCCTCAGGAAATACAAATTTACTTTAAATTCAAGAGTAAAATTTATTTTACCAATTACCTAGAATAACATATTTAAGAATATGCATTTTCTTGATGCATATTCTACCCCAACATACACAGGCAAAGCATTTAAAATTACATGCTTCACGGTGGTGCTGGGCTGGTTTTGTGGCAGGTGAGAGAGCTGAGGGTCATGGGAGTGGGGAGTTTGCACTGTCAAATTACTCAAGAGACACCTGGGGTTGTAGAGTGTCTTCTCTAAATGCTAATGGGGAGCAGCATCCCCCAGAAGAATAGTTCCCTTTGTGTTCTTTATAAAGTTTGTGGCTCTTTAGAAGAGCAGGGGCAGAGGTTCCTTTGGAAATGGACTTTTATGTTTTTGTTTCTGAGACAGGGCCTCCTTATGTTGGCTAGGCAGATCCCCAACTCCTGGGTTCAAGGGATTCTCCTGCCTCAGCCTCTTGAGTAGCTGGGAATACAGGCATGCACCACACTGGTTGGCTAGGAAATGGATTTTGTTTGGGATATTTGAAATTTATCAAAGGTGCATAGGGATTGTGGCTTTCAGGGGAAGATAAATACTTCCTTCTAAACTTGTGATCAAATGGACCCCAACTCAAATACTTCCCAACCTGCTAAGCACAGTTTCCATTTTTTTAATGAGAAAATACGTGCAGAGTAGGCAGAAAATCTTTAGCCAACTCACCAAACCTTTGAACTCATCATATGCAAAAAATAGGCAGAAATAAGGGCTTTTGTGAGTTTAAAAAAAAGTGAATCATTTTTATGTCTCATAAAAAAAAAACTCTGAATTTCAAATAACACACCAATAAATGCTGTTGAATCTCATGTATCATGGAGTACCAATCAGTCTGTGCATGAAATACCTCAGCTGGGGTATTTTGTCCCTAGTACTTTTCTGTCTAGATTACTTTAGGGTGTCTTCCTTTGCTGCCAAGCTGTCACCTGTACCCTGCCATTGCCATTGCTATCAGAAGAATCAGCCCCTCTCTTTCCAATTTGAAACTTTCAACCATGCCTGAGTAAAGAGGGCTGAAAAAATACATAGCCAAGCTTGTTCTGAGTGTAAGTGAGCATTAAGAAGCCTCTGAATGAGAGCCAGGTGGCTCTTGCAACAGCACCTGAATTTTGTCACCATGTTTCCGGGACACAGAGGCTTTGACTGCAAATTCCAGGGCTCAGAAAGGCTCCCAAGTTCCAGGAAGAGCAATTCTGTTGGAAGAGGGTCAGCAGGATGAAAAGAAAACTCACCTGGGAGTAACCAATGACGTTCCCATTGTCATCCAGTACATTAAAATTGATGACGGGACCCTGAACATCAGGGCTGCTGAAATCCGAGTCTCTGTAAATCCGCACCACAGGGGCTCCATTGGGGTAGTGGAGAGAGGACAGGGCTGTATAGGTGTACTGAGCCAACGTGAAGGTGTGCTGCCTGATGTTCTCCATGCCACCTCAAAACAAAGGTGAAATGCCGAGTGTCAGGAATTCTACGTGAAAGGCCCTCTCATTTTTAAGAAAACAAGATCCTTACAACTGATCAACCTGGTCCTCATAGTAATCATTTTAAGTACTTGTAAGTATGGTAGGATATTGCCTTTATAACAAAGGTTTAGGTCTTTGGGAATAAAAATTAGTTTGACATTGCTGTTTCTGTAGAATTTTTCCATAGGAATTCTGCTGTATCTCTTATTTAAATATATATGTATTTAAATATGTATGTACATGTACATATACACACATGTATACATATATATGCATACTTAATGGAACTTCAACATGTAGATAATTTATACTCTTTGGTAACAGATTGGGAAAATGTATGTTTTCTTTAAATATCATTTTTTGTTGTTTGTGCCTGCTAATGTTTAAATCATTTTAATTATGCAAAGCAATGAAGAGTACATGCTTCAACACGAACAGACCTTGAAAACATGCTAAGTGGAATAAGCTAGACACAAAAGGAAAAATATTGTGTTATTCCTTTCACATAAAATATCCACAAGGCAAGACAGAAAGGCCATCAGGGGTCACCAGGGGCTGGGAAGAGAAAGGGATGAGCAGCTATTGATTCAGGGGTAGTTTCAGTCTGGGGTAGTGAAAAGATTCTGGATGTGGGTAGTGGCAATTAATGCACAGCAATGTGAAGGTCCTTAAAACTGCTGAGTTACATGCTTAAAATGGTCTAAATGGAAATTTTTATTTTATGTATATTTCACCACCATTGTTTGAAAAAGCAATTGAGTAGGAAAATAAAAAAGCAAAGTTTGCCATATTAGGGACTGATATTATCAAACTTTTGACTTTAAAGGCACCCCTGCCACCTGTGATTTCAGTGTCCTGTTGATACCTTTCCTTGGAAAGTGGTTTTTCTATGCCCGTCTTTACCAGCTCCTCCCTTGGTCCTGGATGAGGCCCACTTACTCCTTACACCTCCATCAGGGCAGCCCTCCCTTCCATGAATCCCATCTGCCCCAGGGTTGGGCTGAGGCTGAGGACCTGGAGAGTCCTAGTAGTGTGACAGGACAGAGGGAAGAAGGGCTGCCTAACTGCTAAGTCACAGTCCCACTCTGAATGGACGGTACAGGCAGCACGTCCAATTCTGGATACTCAGCCTCTCAAGGAGTGGCCAGGAGCACAGCACCATGAGTGAGCCATGCTGACTAGATAAGTCTTCTTCCGGGCGTGGACCTTTGTGTCATCCCTGTGAGATGGGAAAAGGCATCTGTCTGTGTATCAGCCTCTGGGGAACAGCCCCACCTGTCCACACCCCTGAGTACTTATCAGGAAAGAAGATGCACATTGTACAAAAGCTGGTGAGCAGAGACAGTGATTGGGATTTGGAGTTATGTAAGACCTGCGTTTAAATCCTATCCTCCCAGTTCCCAGCTCCCCAGCCTGGGAAGATGTTTAACCTCTCTGACCCTCCACTCTTCTGTGGACGAGACAGCCTTGTCATCAGCTCCTGGGGGGCGGGGGGCTGTGGAGAGGATCCAGCAGGACAACAGCTGAATGAAACCTCAGGATCTATAACCATTTCCAGTTCAGAGAATGAGGACAGTACCTCCATTTCTGTGCAGCTATTAATCTTCTGATTTGAAATGTCTCCCACCTGCTAAAATGTTCTTTTAGCTGGCAAAGCAAAACAACCCCCCAAAACCCTTCTCATTCCCTTTCTTTCAGAAGTTGCTTTGAAGATATTTAGAGTCAGATTTAACTGCATTCAATGTCCAGCTACTATGTATTACTTACTTCCATTGATATTGTCTCCTTTACAGGAACCACACCCGTGCCAGGGATCCCTCAAGACCACAAGCAATTCCATACAGGTAAAATGTCCACTGACCTGTGAGGCGCTCCAGGGCATCAAATCCATGTTTTAGTGCTATGATGTCAAGGAATGAAATGGTGCCATCTTCAAACCTATAACCATGGGGTGAGGGGAAGAAGATCAAGCTGTGGCCAACAGACTCCATGTGAATTGTGAGGTATGTAGCCAGGGTTTGACTTTAGCCAGAGTGATATCTATTAATAGCTTGCCTTTGACACTACTTTTCCCATCTGAAGAGGGGCTTTGCTCACCAAGAGCCAAGCTGTCTCTAGCCCTGATTGGCTCTTCAGCTTTCTCCAACTACTTAAAACTTCCTAGGGCAGGCTGGTAGTGGTGATAAAAGTCCCTAAAAGATATTCACCATCTTGAGATGCTAAGGAGACAAAAGATGCTTTGCTGCCCCCAAGAAGAATTTGGACTTGACTTTGAAATACTGCCCTTGAAATATCTTGAAATAATGCCATCTGACCACAAGAGGGCACCACTGACAAGATGCCAATTCAGAATGATCAGCGAAGCAGCTGAGAGATTCTTTAGGAGCCTATGGTTCCAAAGCATATGAACCACAGGTTTGGGTTAAAAATTGCAAAGCTTTTATTTATACAGTATATACATAATTTCTTGGTAACCAAATTATTTGTTATGTTTGAATTTCATAATTATTAATTTCATTAGAATTTTCATTGAATCTTTATAGTCTCCTACTGTGTATCAGGCCCTATTCTAGCTGCTAAAGGATACAGCAGTGAACAATGTAGGTGAGATCCCTGCCATTCCGGCCTCACATTCTATGAAACAAGGAATAAAACCCAGCAAATACACACAGAACATGGCAGGGGGTGGTAAGTGCCATGAAGATGCATAAGCAGAAGGGCTGGTGGCTACTTTAATCCAGGTCTCAAGGTAAGTCCTATCTGAGGAAGCTCATTTAATCAGAGACCAAGTGAAGTCAGGAGCAAGGGAAAGAACTCAATTTTGGTTTTTGTTTGTTTGTCTTAATTGTGTTTTGTATGGGGGACTGAACCCGGGATGCTCAACTACTGAGCTACATTCCCAGCCCTTTTTTATATTTTATTTAGAGACCTTACTAAGTTGCTGAGGATGGCTTTCTTTTTCTTTCTTTTTTTTTTAATATTTATTTTTTAGTTATCGGCGGACACAACATCTCCGTTTTGTATGTGGTGCTGAGGATCGAACCCGGGCCGCACGCATGCCAGGCAAGCGCGCTACCGCTTGAGCCACATCCCCAGCCCTGAGGATGGCTTTCAACTTGAGATCCTCCTATCTCATCCTCCCAAGCCACTGACTTACAGGCGTGAGCCACCATGCCCAGCAGACAGAAGGTTTAGTTAGCATCTAGTGGCAACCTCAACTAGCAGGGTGATTAGTTCCCTATCCCAACTCCATGGTGTCCCCTGCTGCTAGACCAGCAGAACCTTGGGTCAGGGGACATTTTCACCTCTTACACATTTGGCCTATCAGTACCTCGCCATCACCATCTGGGAGAATCCTGGCCATGACCCATACCTCCTGCCCTAACGCTTGAGGAAGAAGCACAAGCCAACAAAGTTAGGCAAGGCCTTGCCCTCTGAGGGTCAGTGACAGCCAGCCCTCAAACTCTCTCGGTGACTCACTCTTTGTGGGGGCTCACGGAGGCTCCAACCCCTGCAGTGCAGGCCTGGGGACCTCTGGCTCAGTTCATTTTTCTGCTAACCAGATCTGACCCAAGCTGCTGTTGACTGGGTGCACTCTTATTCCTTAGGGTGTTTTCTGTCAAGATCATTGTTGCAATTTGCTGCCACCGTTTGTGGGTGCTACGGAATCACAATCTGGCCCATGACCTGTTTACTTCCCTGTGGGCCTGTTCACCTCTGTGAAAGGTTAGTACTATGGTTAGTACTATGAAGAAGCCTACACACAGGGGCAGAGGTCACCATGAAGCCTGTGGCACACTCCAGTGACCTCTGCCTCCCAGATCTGAGCCTTGCCACCAGCCTATCCCTGCCAACAATGTCTAACTCCCCTGACCCCGTGGCTTGAACAATCCCAAGGCTGCATGTGCCAAACCTGCCTTGGAGACTCCACCAGCCACCCCCATGGCAAAGTTACCTTTCAGTCACCGACTGCCTTGGGATGTAAAAGTCCTCTCCTGCAAGGTAGGCAGCGGCAGTCCCTCCTCCAAAGTAGTTCTTCCTCAGGAGAGGAGCCACACGATTATTGACCAGCAGAGCACCCAGGCCAGTGGGGAATCCAAAGATCTTATAGAAGGAGATGGGGACAAAGTCGGCCTGATGAGCCGACAGGTCCAAAGGCGAGGTGGTCACATAGGAGGCTGCATCCAGCAGCACAAACCACTTCCCAGGCACGCTCACGGGGCTCATCCGCCCAGACTTGACCTCTCCTATCCAGGACAGCGGGTATCTGGTTCCTGAATAGTTACTCTGAGCTGGGTAACAAAAGAGATGCAGAAGCTGGCAGTTTGGATCACAGGCCACAGCACCCTGTTCCTTGGCTGACCACATATCCTCTGGACTGACCGCGGTGGATGTGGCATTCATAGCCATGACCACATTCCTTATTCCTACTACGGAGGTGTGACTGTCGGTGAGGTAACAGAACTGACTTCCGCTGCTGTCTGGGCTCTGAGACACCCATGGAAAGGCCTCGGCCACCAGTTTGAGAGCAGCTGTGCTCCCAGCAGTAAAGATCACGCTGTACTCCTCTGGCGTGGTGTGGAAGTGGGCCAGGATCCTGCAAGAAACAGCATCATGCAGAGCCTTGGTCTCAGCTCCAGCGCTGAATGATTGAAGGTTGTTTTCTTTCTTTTTTGGCACCGGGGGATTGAATCCAGGGGCATTCAACCACTGAGTCACATTCCCCACCCCTCTCTGTGTGTGTCTGTGTATATGTGTTTTATTTAGAGGCAAGGCCTCGCTAAGTTTCTGAGGCTGGCTTTGAACTCCTGATCCTCTTGCCTCAGGCTCCCGAGCTGCTAGGATTACAGGGGCATACCACCAGACCTGACTATGTTGTTTTCTTTCTGCTGAAAGGACATCTCTACTTGAAAAGCTAGAGAAAAATCCCGATAGGCTTAGCCACATTGTGAAATTAGGGTGGGGGGCTGAGAAAGCCATGGGAGAGATCAGGCTCAAATCCACAATCACAAATCCCATCTTCAACCTGAATGACAAAAATCAACAATGACCTAAATGTTGGTTGAAAAGCCCTTCTACTTGACACTTCTTCCCTAGTTCTGTCACAAGTTTTAAGTCATCAGCTTATTTCACATAGCTTTTAATACTGACAACCCGATTGCAAAAACTGTATTAGTTTCAAATTTGAAATAACAAGAAATTGTGTCAATCCAAGTAACTTTAGGGACCACCTGGAAATTATTTTCCAGAAACCAATTATGTGGAAAAGTACAATGCGCTGTTTAATATGCAAATACTAGTACAATGAGCTGTTTAATATGCAAATACTATTCCTATGGTGGGGTACCATAGGAATAAAACAGATGCCTAATAAAACATGAAAAGTGGAGCAGTGCTTTTCTTCTTTCTGAGAACAAGACCTCAGAACCTGGTTCACTCCTTGGCACTCTGACACATGCTCAGAGGCACATCAAACAGCTATGTGACCTCAAAGCCACATACCTGTGTTTCGTCTGCCCCATTCTACATTTAATGCATTCTTGCTTTCCTGTCCTCTGACCCCAGACTATGTTGTCATGAGTGCATTGCTTCTTAGCTAAGTGTGATCTTCCTGAAACCCATTCAGAGCTTTTTCGGGATTAAGGCAGGTGCTAGGAAGGAAGTGTGTCCCCCAAGGTGGTCAGCTCAGGCTGGTGTCCCTGTTGCTCACCTGTAGCGCACGTGCTCCACAGTGTCATGGGTGAGCTTGCTGATGGTATTCTGGCTGTGAGGATTACCTGGCAGGTTACAAAGACAAAGCCTTAGAGTTACTACCATGATCTCTCCTTTTATGTCCCTTCAAAACCCTGACCCTCTACTTCTTAAAGTCGAAGCATAAAAGACCCATATGACCCAGAAATTCCACTCCTAGGAATCTACCCAAAAGAAATAAAAACTTATGTTCACACACAGACTTGCACATGGACGTTCATAGCAGCTCTATTAAGGCCAAATTCTGGAAATAACATAAATGTCCATTAACTAGTGAACAGACAAAATACAGTACCTCCCCACAAAGGACAATTCTTTCGCAATAAAAAGGAACAAATTACTATGTCATGAATGAACTTCAAAAGCATGCTAAGTGAAAGGTTCCAGATACGAGAGCCCACTTGTTGCATGATTCCATGGACCATGATTCCATAGACCACATGAAAGATCTAGCAAAGCAACTGTATAGAGATACTGAAAGTGGTAGATTATGGGTTGCCTGGGCTAGGAGTGGCAACAAAGATTAACTGTCAATGGGTGTGGAGAATCTCAGGGTGGGGTGGGAAGAAAATGTTCCAGCTGATGCGCAATGGTTGCAATCACTCAATCAAAATGCTAAAAATCGTTGACTTGTATAGATGAAGTTTGGGTTATGTAAAATATAACTCAATAAAGCCATTTAAACAAATAAAACAAAACCCTTCTCTTACTTGTAAAATAAGTTGGGACCCAGGAAGAGGGTTTGGGAGCTAGCAGTCAGCTCAGAGGTAGCTGGCCAGGTTCCGCGAGAGGTGGCCAGAGGCACAACCTCAGGAGCCTGCCCTCTCCTCCAAGCATAATCACACCATGACACCATTTATTAGTCCCCATTTGGTGCCCTGCCATTCCCACCCCTGCTGCTGGCACTGTCCTTGCATAAGTGCACCACCCTGGATACATAAAAGGGCCAGCACATGTCCCCTCATCCTCCCACTCCCAAAACTTACGGCTCTCCCAAATTCACCCTTCTCTTTGATGGATTCTAGTCTTTTCCCCCCTCTTTGTATCCTCCTTGTGTGTCCCAGAGTATTGGAATCTCCCTCAAAACTTGGTTCTCAGACATGAATCCAGATGTCTGAAAGGCCTGACATATAGGGGCTGGGGACCAGCATCTCAGAAGGTGCAGGACAGTGTGTGCACAGCCTTAGTTTGTGTTTCGTTTGTTTTTCCCCTAGACCACACTGAAGGGTCACACTGGATTTATGGCTACTGAAGCAATCAGACTCACCTTGGTTTTTAGCCCTGCATCATCAGGACACCCTGAATCTCTCTGCAGCCATCTTACATGTTACCCATTACCCATCTTACAAGTCTGCAGGCTTACATGTTTCCCATAGTTGTAGCTCTTGTAAAGGTTACAGCAGAAACACTGCGGGGCTCTTTGCAAATCATAGATTAAAATCAAGATAAAGTCCCTCACTGGCACCTTCCCTGAAAGCTTCACCAGATTTAAAGATCTGCTGTCTGCTCAGAGCCATGATTCAAAGCCCTTACCATAGCATAACAGGACTGTCATGAACTGAGACAGCTGTGGGAGGGTGGGGTTGGGTTCTAGAGTTAAAATGTCAGGATTCAGAACTCAACTCTCCCAGCTCCAATACTTCCTGACTTGTGTAGCCTCAGGTTAGTTACTTACCCTCTCTGGGCCCCTAATTGCTCACAGATAAATCAAGGGTAATAACAGAACCTATAGCTCTTTAGTTATTGTGAGGATGAACAGAAGTTAACACATGTAAGCGTTTGAGAAATACCTGAGCCCTAGATGGGTATTATCACTATTATCATTACAAATATTATAACTGCTACTGTGGCTAGTATTACAAATTTCCTTTCCATCCAAGGTTATCTTCTGATCATGTTGTGATGCTGATTAATACCCTCAGTGACTGCCCATTGTTCTTAGAGGAACCATCAAGCTCTTCAGAGCATCTCCAATGCCCTGCCCCCACCTCCCTCTCTACACAGACCTCTACCACTCTCCTACCCTCTGTGTTCCTGGGCTGCTTCCTGAATCCCCTACCAGATCTTGGTTCTTGCTGTTACCACTACCTGCAGGCTTTCTCCTCCTCTTGTCCAAGTGAAATTCAGCTCATCCTTCAGCATCCACTCCACTCCCAAGAAAGCTTTCCTTGGCGTACACACTGCTAACCCCACTGTCTCTCGGCAGATGTAGACTCCCATGGCGCCAGCCACCTTTTCAAAGCCCTTCACGCACTTGTTAATTACATTTATTTGGAGATTACTTAATTATAGTCTTGTCTACCAGGACTAGATGATAGTCTCCATGGAGAAAGGGTCTGTGTTTATTTTTCTCCCATTATAGCACCAAGCCCATGTACCATGGTGGTTTAATAAGTATGGAATGAATGAATGAATGAAGTGTGTCCCTCCTGCTGTTCCACCCTCTACACTGTAGAGTCACTCACAACACCGAACACAGCACCTTTGAACTTCTGTGCCTGCCAGACACAGACCCCTTCTTCTGGATGTAACCTATTTATCCCTGATCGAGAACCTTCCATCCCAAACATGTGTTTGGTACAGAATCATCCTGGGTGCTTGTCTGACTTCCCATCTGATACGGGGCTTAGTCAGCTTTGTGTGCACAGCATGTTCTCCATCTATTAATCCAACATTATTAAACATAGATTAATCATCTGCATATATAATTAGCTAAAGTCAATTTGGGGGTGTTTTTCTTTACCATAAATATTTTTCATGAGATCATTCGTGAAGCTTGTAAGCTGGCTCTGGGGGAACAAGGTGGCTCCTGCATGGTCAAGGTAGACAGTTCCTGAAAAGAAAGAAAAAAAATATCGCAATTTGTTGCTCATAGACCTTCCAGTCATCTACATCTGGTTTGTGTGAGTCTGACCAGTGCCCCTTCAATGCATGTCAATGTTTTAACACCAGGACACTGATGTCCCTGCACCTCTTGATAAGAGCTTCTTAATCCAAGTGTAGGCATGAACAATGGCAGAAAATGCCCTTCTAATGTTGAGTTGACATTTAAGACCCTCAGAGAGCCTTCCTGACTAACCAGCTTTCTTATGAAGCTGGACCAGTGTCCCACAGAGTGGAGGTGCCCAAAGACCCTGGGGATGAATACAGCTGTGACTCAGGCCCTGTCCTGGAGGTTCCGTGCACTCCCCTGATGGGTGAGCCTGGGTTCACCCTCAAACCCAGAATAGCTATGAGAACTGCAGAGAATTTGAGAGAAAGAAACAAACCTTCCAGTCTCTCTCCTGTAGAAAGAAATTCAAATTTAATGAACATAAAATACCATGGTTTATCTGTTAGCTTGGCAGAGATCAAAAGGTTGGATGTCTCACTATGGGGGCAAAAGCTAGGCAGCACCCTACTGGCTAGAAATTGGTACAACTCTTTTTTTATGATTCTTATTAATGCGTTATAATCATACACACTAGTGGGATTCATGATGCCATATTTGTACACGTACATAACAATTTGAGCAATCAAATTTTCCAGTGATTTCTCTTTCTCTTTTTTCAGTACAGCTTAATGGATCAGTCATTTGGCAGCATAAGTAGCACTTTAAAATGCAGATACTCTTTGAAAGAGCAATTCCTCCTCTAGGTATTTTATCTTATAAAGACCCAAGCTTTTGTGAAATGAACTGTATATGAGGGTATTCAGTGCAATATTTACTGTAATAGCAAAAGAATAAGGACAAACGTCTATCAACATGTACTTCAAAGAAAGAATTATTGAATACCCTACATGAGGCACTACGTTCGATCCTCAGCACCACGCAAAAACAAGTAAATCAAATAAATGTATTGTGTCCAACTACAACTAAAAAATAAATGTTTAAATAAATAAATTTAGTATCCAGCTGTCTCTTTTTGTTATTATTGTTGCTTAAGTTTTTGTTGTCATAAGTCATTACCTAACCCAATTATTGAATATCCTAGTACATTATAAGCACTGTTATGGAACAAACTCTGAGATGCACTTTCCACAGCCTACAAAGTAAATAGATCCATTTGTTCCTTTGTTCACTTAGCAATATTTTTTTTTAGTCAGGTAGGGTGAATTTTTATTTTACAACAACTTTATTGATATATAATCCACAAGCTGTGAAATTAGTGATTTTTGGTGTATTAACACTGTTACGCAACTGTCACTACTAATTTTAGAACATTTTTATTCACCCCAAAAGAAGTCCCATAACCATTATCATTCATATACCAGTCCCCCCAGCCTCACCCCGGCAGTCACTAGTCTAATCTTCTGTTTCCAAAGATTTGCCTATTCTGAACATTTCACGTAAATGGAACCATTCAATATGAGGTCTTTTGTATCTGACCTCTTTTATTTGGTGTTATGTTTTCAAAATGTATCCATATCTTGGCCTGTATTAGAACTCACTCTTTTTATGGCTAAATATTATTCCTTTGTATGAATATACCACAATTTGTTCATCCATTCATCTGCATGGGAACATTTGGATTGTCCTCACTTTGTCTATTAAAACAATGCTCCTATGTATATTAATACACAAGTTTTTACATGGACATATGTTTTGTGTCCATTCAGTGAAGTATCCTCTGTATCCATTGAAACACACATGTTTTTCAATTTAGTATCCAAGGGATTGGGGTTGTGGCTCACAAGTAGAGCACTTGCCTAGCATGTGTGAGGCACTACATTCGATCCTCAGCACCACCCAAAAATAAATAAATAAAATAAAGGTATTGTGTCCAATAACAACTAAAAATAAATGTTTAAATAAATAAATTTAGTATCCAATTGTCTCTTTTTGTTGTTATTATTGCTTAAGTTTTTGTTATCATAAGTCATTACCTAATCCAATGTCCTGAAGATCTATGTTTGTGCTTTCTTCTAACAATTTTATACTTTTTGCTCTTACAGTTAGGTCTTTATTGATTTTGAACTAATTTTTGAATAAAGTGTGAGGGAGAGGGCATGTGGATATCCAGTTGTCCTAACATCATTTGTTGAAGAGACCACATTCTTTCCCCCATTAAACAGTTTGAGCATCCCTGATGAAAACCAACTGGCCACAGAGGCATGTGTTTCTCCACCTACAGTTCTATTCTATTCTGTTGGTCTCTATGTCTATCCATATGCCAATACCTCACTGTCTTGATTACTATAACTTTGCAGTAAGTTCTGAAACCAGGAAGTGTGGATCTTCTAACTTTGTTTTCAAGATTGTTTTGGCTCTACTGAGTCCTTCACATTTCTATATGAATCTTACGATCTGTTTATCAATTTCTGCAAAAACTCAGCTAGCTAGAATGATTCTGAAGTAGGTAGAGCAAATCTGGCCTACATACTGTGTTGGATAAAGAAGCATTTTAATATTAAATCCTTTTCTTGTTAACTGTGAAACTTGGTAAAATCTTTATTTTAAAAATAGAGTATTAATGTATCTCATAAGAATGTCATATTATGTTAGACAAAACATAAAAAGCACACTGTTTCATGAATACTTTTTTTCCCTCTTGCACTAACATTATTTTGTCATTTAAGTACTTAGATAATCACACTTAAATAAATTTATCAAAGCTGCTCCAGTGGGGGCAAAGGGAAGGGAAGCTGGTATTCTTATAATATTTGAATTGAATCTGTACATCAGTGTAGGGATTATTGCCATTTTAACAAAATTAAGTCTTTCAATCCACAAATACAGGTTCTTTTACTATTTATTTAGGTCTTTAATTTCTTTCAATGATGTTTTGCAGTTTTCATTGTATGTCTTGCACTTATTTATTTACTTATTTTATTGGTGCTGGGGATTGACCCAGGGGCACTTTATCACTAAGTTACATCCTCAGTCCTTTTTATGTTTTATTTTGAGACAGGATCTCACTAAGTTGCTGAGACTAGCCTTTAACTTGCAATCCTCCTGCCTTAGCCTCCCGAGTCACTGGGATTAAAGGTAGGTAATATGGAACCCACCTATCTTCTATTTATTTTGATAATTTTTCCTGTATGTTTTATTCTTGTTGAATAAAGAATTATTTTCCTAGTTTCACTTTTATAATATCCATTGCTAGGGTATAGAAATTGGCTTGATCTTTGCACATTGATCTTGTATCCTGCAAGCTTGCTGAACTAGATTTTTAATTGTCTTACTTTGGTTTGTGCATTCCTTAGGATTTTCTACATCCAAGATTATGTTATCAGCAAATAGATACATTTTTTTATTTCTTCTTTTCTAATCTGGATGCCTTGTATTCCACTTTCTTGCCTAATTGCCCCAACTAGAACCTTTAGTATAATGTTGAATAAAAGTGGTAAGAACAAACATCTTGTCTTGTTCCATATCTCAGGACGAAGGCTTTCAGTCTTTTTCCATTAAGTATGATGTTATCTGTGGAGGTTTTCATGATGACCTTTATCAAGTTCATTAAATTTTCTTTTATTTCTAGTCTATTGAGTGTTTTTACATTCAACAAATATTTATTAAGCACTTACTTTGTACCAGGCACTGTATATAAGCTGAAGACACAACAATGAACAAAACAGAAGCTAGCCTGATAGTGGCAGAGAATTACCATAAACAAATAAATGCAAACTATGGCAGGTAGTGAGAAATGCTATGGCTCACTTAAGAAACATTTTCTTTAAAGTGCACACACATACAAATATAGACAACCACCAGAAAGGCACACAAGACACAACTGACAGCAACTGACTCTGGGGTGGTTACGATGGCTGCAGCTAGAATTATGGAGAGGTTCTTTGGCCATTCTTCAATTTCATTTGGCACCTTTTGAATCTGATACCATTAAAATGTATTATATAGTCTAAATTTTTTAAATAAGGTTCTCTTTTATTAAAGCTTCAGAAACATAACTTTAAAATTAAAAGAAATGTTTTTGTTCATCCAGGCTTCAAGGCCCAACAGTGTACACATGAAGCCCCAATACACAGTTGAGACCCAGGTGACTCCTGTGAAGCTCCATGCCCCTTGATGAGAGTCTTCTGCAGAACCATTTTTAAAAAAGCTTTCTCTGACCTTTGGTCCAACAGTTAATTTGGGGTGGGGGGGAGCAACTGTGTTAGATCAGCCAAGGTCTGATTTGGGGGTGGGTAGAGCAGCAGAGTGGTTAACAGTGCAGAACCCAAGTGAACCAATCTGGATTAAATTTTGGCCCCACCACTAACCACTCTGGGACCCTGTTCCTACATCTGCAGATGGGACTAAATGAGTTGATATATGACAACACCCAGTCCAGTGCCTGGGACAGAGTAAACACCTCTCAGTTTTAGCTGACATTAGAAGCAGGCAAATGACTCATAACCAAGAAAAAGAATTCCAGGTCTATTCCGAGCCATGCCTCTGCCATTCTCTGTTTCATTCAATGAGTTGTTATCAATCAGCTCCCTAAGTCTTCAAGAACTACTTGAACTAAATCTATGTATTCAATATGCTCCCTTCGCTAAGACAAGCAAATTCCCAGCAAACGGGTTGGGTAAAACGTTTCAGCTGTAAAGGTTCAGGATTTAATTATACAGACCCACACTTAGCCAGATAAATTTTCAAACCCACAGAAAACCTTCAAGGAGGGAGAGGAAAGGAGAGAAGGTGAAGGTTATATTAGTTTGGTTTGGTTGGATGCTTGGATCTTTCCTACCCTCTCTCCAGTTCATTTATTTCCATAAGGGGGAAAAAGTGAACCAGTTCTGAGACTCCCAGACAACCAAAATGTAGAGGAAATACTGGGAATTGCACTAAGTAAATAGAGGACACACACAACACGGTCACAAATGCAATTGATGTTAAAAAGTCTCTGGGGGTGGGGGTGGGTAAGAGGGTTATCTCTGAGGGATCAGAGTGAAACCAGGAGGAACTCAGAAGTACCTCTACTTTTCAGGATAGTTTTGGGAGAAGTCAGCCAATTCAGGGATCCAAGTTTAGAGGAGATTTAGGAGATTAAGGAGGTGTAGTCCTGGAAGCATTATGGACTGAATGACACAGACTGGGATTTGCTTCAAAAGAATAGAGGGCCTCCCTCCCTCTGCACCTGTGGGTATTCTTAGCATAAGACTTTATTTCTGTGTGGTAGGAAATTTCTGTAATAAAAAGGAGAGAGAAAGAGGGAGGAAGGATATGTCCAGCAGGTGACAGTGTGACATGGAAGAATAGGCAGGGAGTAGAGAGGCTGGCAAAGACCACCCTGTCCCTCCTGACTCTCTCTACTTAAATATAGAGGGGACAACACAAGGAGGAGGCCAGGATCCTCAAAGCCTACCAAAAGGGGGGGGGGGGAAGTTATCATTATAAAACATAAGGAGGACTGGGACTGTTGCTCAGTGGCAGAGCACTTGCTTTGCATGTGCGAGGCGCTGGGTTCAATCCTCAGCACCACATAAAAATAAATAAAATAAAGGCATGTGGTCCATCTACAACAGCGAAAGAAAGAAAGAAAGAAAGAAAGAAAGGAAGAAAGAAAGGAAAAGAAAAAGAAAACAAGGAAACGACTCAAATCTTTGCTATCCTGCCACAAACAGGAGCAGTCAACAGTTTATCACGATGAGACAAATAAACCAAGGTGCCCTGGCCCCTGACCTGTCCACTTCATCTGCCCGCTTCCACCCTTGGGCACAGGGTTCTGAGGCTTGACTAATCCCCCACCCCTAAGGTTCCTGGCACAAGCGTGAGTCCCGAACCCACAGCAGTGGGGCTGGGGTCAGTCATCGCCAGCTGGATCTTGATTTCCAATTCAATCAACAGGTTCCACAAAAGCACGATCGTGGCGATCCCGATCTTCGTGTCCAATTTACTGGCTTGACCTGTTCTTGAAAATTCAAATTGCAGGGTTCGCTAATTCTTCTAATCCCCCAGAGAGCTAGAGCTAGGAAGACCTGGGAGGCATTGCTCTAACTGCGGGAATGAGAAAAATGAGGTTTGGGAAATAAAAGCTACTCGTGGCCCCTGCCAGCGCAGTCTGGGGTGCCGCTTTGGAAGACCCCTGCCCCACGACCTCAGCCTCCGGGTCCCCACCTCGCGATCCCTCAGAGCCACTCTCCCAACTCCACTGGCTGGCCGCCCACGCACCGCTCCTGTCTCAGGGCGTGCATCAGAGAAGTCAAGGCCGCTGGACCTCTTGCATTTTGCAACACCCGTGGTGTAGTTGGACCTTTAGAATACAGGGGACGGGAGGGCAAGAAGAATCCTAAGCTGGGTTCGCCAGGGCTGGGGAAAGGTGGAAAGGATCTAGGTTGGTCCTGTCCCACTGGAGCGATAGACGAGGGAGCCACTTCCATGAAACCGACGCGTGGAGACATCCTTCCTACTCTTTTCAATTCAAAACGCGCCCTGAATGACAGCGCCGCCACCACTTGGAGCTGGACGCCTTTTCTGTGGGTTACAGGAGCCGCGTGCCCCGCACGCCCCCCTCACCTGCCAGGCGGCCGAACTCGCTCTCCCGCATGTCGAGCAGGCTGCGCGGGCCGTATCCATAGGCGAGGCGCGCCGCGCTAGAGTCGCGGAACCGCGTGAAAGCCAGCAGCTCGGCCCCGGGTTCTGTCGCTTCGCTAGCCATGGCCCAAGCTGTCAAAGCCGGCAGGGTCTGGGAGGTACATAAGACCGATCCACGGTGACTCCGCCCCGGCCGCGCCTCTGGGGCAGCACCGGTCCGTGACCCGGGGGCGGCGCCTCGAGGGACTGTCCCGCTCTCTCCGGACGCGCTGACTCAGGGGTTTCACTTCGGTCCGCCTTTTTTACACCTGGAGCCGAGAGAGCGAGAGCCCGCTCTGCTGCCTCTTTGAAGGAATTCCCAGTGTAGCCCGCGGAGCTGCCCAGACACCTGGAATGCAAAATCCTTGTTTAGCTGTTTGTCATGGAAATGCAGGTGCACAAAGCAACCTAGGGTTTTCCCTGCTGGCCATCCTGAAAACCGTGATTTTATTCCGCACGGCGACCCCGGGGATCTTCACCCACCGTAGTGTGAGCCGGCCTCTGTGCAGCGGGCGTTTACGAAGAGATTTGGATTTCTCCAGTTGTTGCTCCCCGGTGGGACGTGTGCTCCGCGTTTCTGAGAATGTGGCTAAGCAAAGGGTAGATAGGAAAATCACTACGCAGTCCACAAGCTGGTTAATAAAGCTCTCTGCGGCTGCGCACGGTTGGAACCGGGAAGCTTGGGTGCGACCCGGACGGGAGCGCCTCCTCTGCTCCGCCTTCGCGCCGCACCCGGAGAGCCCCGGCAGAGTGTCCCGGGGCATTAGTCTGTCAAGCAGGGAGGGGCCGGAAAACCAGGAGCGGGAAGTGTGAGGCTCGGGGTCTGAAGGTGTCAGGTGCACTAATCGTGGGCCAGGTACGCCCCGGGAGTGTGGGGTACTTGTGCGATCCCAAGTACGTGGTGGGCTACCCAGAGATCAGGAGACCAGGACTTCGAATCCAAGTGAGGCGAATGGTAAGGAAGTGTGAAGGTACTGTGCCTACAGTCATGCTGCAGGCCTGCCTCACTGGTCCAACTGTCGGTCCTGTAGTCTAAGAGGAATCTGAGCTGTTTCATGCTGAGGTCCCAGAAGGCCAGTTCTGCAGAAACAGTTCTTTCCTCTCCTAGAGACCTCTCTCACCAAGAACCTGAAAATTTTCTGCCTACCCATTTGGGCAGACAGGAGAGATGGGCTCAATTACGCACTCTCTCCCATTGCACGAGGTTTTGTCCCTGATCTAGCTCCCACGGTCCCCTTCCCTGCCTCATGATGATGTCTCCCCAAATGCCCTTGATTTCAGATTAACAGACCCTACTTACAGGGTCCCCTATCAATAGGATCCATTTGGAAGAATGTCCTCTATATATAAGACCTTCATTCACAATTTCTTTCATTCATTCACTTGGCCAAATGTGGATGAGTGCTTCTCAGATTTAGGCTCTGTGGTGGTAGAGGAAGAAACCTCATGCTGAGGAGCTAGAATTTAATTTTTAAGGCTATGGAGCAAAAGTGCCCCTAGAAGTGATTTAAGTAGACCTGTCTAATGACCATGGCCAGACTAGATGAAGCTGTGAAAACTGGGGACAGGGAAAACAGCTGTAAATTCTTGCAACTGTTCTGGCTCCAGTCCCTGAAGATGAAGCCTGAGGCTTTGGCAAGGGGCATTCCTTTGGTGTTCTTGGACAGCTGCTTCCTACAAGGAACATGGTAGACATTGGAAAGACAATGAGAGCAGAGTACTTCTCTGCTGAAAGCCAAGGCTGACGGGAAGAGAGTTTCCCTACTAGCAGAATGCAGAGATACCTTCCCAGAGGGTCCCAGAAGAGGAAGCAGGGGGAGGAAAGGCAATATTCCATGTGCAAGAGCCTAGAGATAGCAAATGGCTCAGCAGATTCCAGAAGCAGGACATTCAATGAGGCTGGGACATTCTGGAGCTCAGTGGGGATGAAGGGTGGGATGGAGAGCAAGAGAAATGAGTGGAGTCAGATTGCAATGTGGAGCAGGAACCTGGCCTTGGTCAGGTAGGGACAGGAAGATGTTAGGGAGTCTCACTGTAGTACAGTGACTGGATCTTTGGTGGCACTGAGGAGGGGTTGATTTCAGGGAGACTGTAGACAGGACTGTCAGAGGTTGAGCAGTGAGTGCTGATCTGAGTGTTTCTCCTCGTGAGGAGCAGTGAGTGCTGATCTGAGGCCCGGGTGGTATAGAAGTTTTGAATTCAGGAACAAAGGAAGCCTAAGTAGGACTGGCTGGGAGTATGTAGTGCTGTGGGATGGGGAGACCAAGTGAATGCAGGGAGGATGGGGCTCAGGCACAAGGAGACAATTTGGAGCTTGAATCAGGACTTATAAGTGGAAATTCAGGTGCAGAGCTCAAGATGGATGCAGTCTCTGGAGTCATATGGAGGACTTGTGAAGAGAGCAGCCCAGAAGCTCAGGAAAGCTGGTGGAGCTATGGGATCAGTGGCACTTAAGTGTTTCCTGCCTCATGCCATAGATGGTTGAGTCGAGGGAGAGAACCAGAGCCGAATGCCATGGACATCTCTGAGGCTGAGAGGCCGATTAGGAGATGGATTAGAGGTTGTCTCACAAGCCAGCCCTGGAAGACCTTTGCCTCTCAGTCTTGGAGGAAGTTGGTGGCAAGGACGGAGATGGTAGTGTGGCTACAATTAGGATGGATCAAACCTTCTACCAATTTGTCAAGATGTGGGGGTGGGTATTTCCAAGAAGGCCAAATTTGGTTTGGATAATGAAATTAATTTAGTATTTCCTGTTAGAGTGAAATATACACCTCCCTAAGGAAGAGATCCTGCAGAGCTAGATATTAAGGTAGCTAGGAAACAAGAAGGCTGGCACAGCAGAGGGACAGGTTTCTGCTAAAGCCTGGCAGTGTGCCCTGGTTGAAGCAACTTGAGAGCAGTGGAAAGAGGGACCAGAAACCCCAGGAAGCTCCCTCCCCTGGAGTGAAATGAGACCTTTGCTGTGAATAGAAGCTAAAAGGGCAGCTTGAAATCATGGCATGGTCGGGAACAAGGCTCCATTATATCTACACTCAAAATGTTCAAAACAACAAAAACCCACCAGTACTAGGCAGACCACAGGACTGAGAGGGCAGGAACACCCAGAATATCTTCCTGAAGTTGCTTCCCTGGGAGCATGGCTCCCTGTGTTCATTCAGGAGCAGGTCCATGGCCAGGCCCAGCCAGCCCCTTCTTAGTCCACTCTGTGCTGAAACCTCCTACCTCCTGCTCTTTGCCTCCTCTTTATACCACCAAGACAGGGAAAGGATTGGATACCAGGTATTCTATTTACATTTGCAAATGCTTTTTCTCCCAACTATCTGTGTGGTCAAGTTAACTCAAGTTTACTGTGGATTCAGCAAAGATGTGATAATACACTGTGCTAGATGCTGTGGACAAAAAGAAAACCATCTAATGCCCCAATGTTTAGACTTTGGTAGGCTTCTATAATAGGCTTGCATTGGTTGCCCATCCAACACCCATTGCCCCTGGTTTTGCTTTAGAAAACCACCCCAACACAGCAGCCATGTGGTCAGACTATGCCTCCAGCTCCAGGATAGGTCATCTCATGTTTCATTACATCCAACATGCTGGCCCCAGTCACTCAATGTGTGGCTTTCTCTTGCCCTGTCATTCATGTAGGGATAGTCCAGTCAGAGGAAAGTTAGGGACATGATGTTTAAAGGTTATATGCAAAAAAATATGTAATCTCAGGGACTGTTTGCATTCCTCTGCACTCTTAGGAGAAAAATGACCTGGAAAGGGCAGAGGTGAGAAAATTAAAGAAAGGGAAATAGGAACCTGATCAAACTATTACTGAAACCTGTCCTATCACTGTACTCTTTTCAGTTATGTGAGCCAATAATCCCTTTTGCCTATTGGAGATGACTTTCTTAAAACAGAAAGCATCTTATTGAAATAGCTTTAGACATATACACAAATAGAATAAAGTGGCAGATACCAAAAGTATTATGTATTAGTATCAAATACTATGTAATTCAGAGAAAGGAAGGAATACTTGAAACAAAGAGATTAAGGAAGGCTTTTAGGGGCTGGAGTTGTAGCTCAGTGGTAGAGCGCTTGCTTAGTGAGGCACTGGTTTGACCCTTAGCACCACATAAAAATAAATAAAATAAAGGTATTGTGTCCATCTACAACTAAAAGTATTTGAAACAAAAAGAAAGAAAGAAGGAAGGAAAGAAGTAAAGGAGGTGGCATGAACTGAGCTGTATTTAATCATAATAGCAATAGATGCAAAGTATTGTTGTCTTATTATTTTTATGCATTACCTGTTTAATCCTCAAAACAATCTACGAAGTGGTTACTTTTTATGAAATTAGATTATCATTTGTTATCTTTCTCCCAGAATGAAACACCCTAATTCTCACTGAGCAGATGGCCATCTATAATACAGATTTAGTTTCTCATTTTTCTCTTAACACTAGGTATGGCCACAAAACTAAACTCTGGCCCAGGAGATCTGGGCAGAACTGTCTAGGATGTCCTTAAAGTTAGGGACAGGCTTTTCCTTATGTCTTCCTCCTTTCTGCTATCTGGAGTGCAGAGATCATGGCAGGAGGACAAGCAGCCATGCTGGCAGGTAGAAGCCACAGATGGCAGAATAAAGTGAGCCTGAGATCCAGATCATATTAAGAAGTTCCATGCCTATCTTGGTCAGCCTAAATGAACTTCTTTTATTTTAAAGAGAAATTTTCTGACTTGTACAAACTGAAAGACAATTTTGCATTTTCTTTCACACACCATTGTATGTAAGCCAGACTGATACACTAGTATTTTTACTTATAGAGAAGAGAAGGGGAAGCTTGCCCACAGTGAGAGCCAGTGTGAACCTGGATCCAAACCCATTTATACCCGACTCATCAATTACTTTGGGACTCTTATCTGGAGGCTGCCTTTGAATTCATGATCGGAGAAAACAGCTGAGGAATGGAGGATCTGCCTCAGCCTCCCAAGCTGCTGGGATTATAGGCATGCACCACCCCAACTGGCTTCATTCTTTCTTCAGTAAAAGTTTTATAGGGGGCTGAGGTTGTGGCTCAATGATAGAGCGCTTGCCTAGCACGT